GTTTCTTGCAGGCAAAGTTTTGTAGTACAGTAGCTAATGACATCATGCTGGACACCGGTATTGGAGTAGTGAGGATGTGGGCCGACGAGACGAGCCGTCTCAGCCGCTTCAGGATGCTCTTCACTTCGTTTGCAGACCGTGAGTTTCTCCTTCAGATTATTCCTAACCTGTGTCGTTTTTACCATGTTGCTTTTGTTCAGTTTCTGTATCTGATAATGCAAGCACATATGTTGCAAAGTTGCATTAAATGATAATATATTCAATGAACAAGGCTGGGTTGAACAGAGATGAATAGCATGTCTGAAATGGCCCTGTCAAACTCCTTTGGCCAAGAAGTAGAAGAATGTATCCTCGCTGTTAATGTCACTATCACGTGTTTGTCTTTCAGCGCCCTGTTTAGGCAGTGCATTTTTCTGCCACAGTAACATGTGCATCAACACTTCTCTGGTGTGCAACGGCATACAAAACTGTGTCTTTCCCTGGGATGAAGGCAACTGCAAAGGTACTCCAGCTGTCCCAAAGGATGTGTAATTCTTTCTAAGAAAATCCACTATGCTGTGCTGTTTTACAATGAGTGGTGTTGTGTGATGTGATGACATGTCTGGCTTTGTTGTGTCACATTGAGGATCTTGTGCTCTAATTCAAGAAAAAAGACACTCACGTGGGCCCCACTCTGTTAATTTACTCAAATTATCCAAGCAAGGCTTTTACGTCATTTTTCAACCTATTAGAACAGAGCAGGTCTTATTGGCAAATGTTTTGAGGGAGGAAAAATGATCAGATCAACTTCAATGCCTTTGTGGCAAAAGTCCTGCTGATGAGCCTTCTGGCTGTTTAGTGGCTCTAAAGCTCCTGAGTGGATTTCGGATGGCTGTTTGGCGGAACAGGCTTTTAGCGAAGGCTCTGAATTGTTCTTGGCAACCAAAGATAAAGACTGTCTTGATGAGAATGGCAACAAGTAATTGACCGGTATACTCTCCGTAACTCTAAATGTAACTCATATTTTATCTTTCTTTGATACTCTTGTAATTTCTATCATTAGAGAAAAAGAGCAAGGGTGTTTTTCACGCGATCACAAAGACTCATGGGACAGTGATCTGCGTGTCTACGGGAGTGGTGCTCCTGCTCCTCATCATCTCAATTCTGGTGCAAGTCAAACAGCCACGTAAGAAGGTAATAATCCAAAGGGTATTATTAATTATCATGCCACAACATATTGGTGAGGAAATACATGATTTATCAAATGTGTTCATTCATATTTCGAAGGTCTTGATACGTAAAAATAACCTTTTCCAACGGGGCGACTTCCAGGAGGTGTTTGACCCTCCACATTACGAACTCTTTACTCTCAGAGACAAGGTCAGTTTGATTACTTTGATACATTATTAGCTGGACATTTTCTTTTTATGTAACAACGTCATCCTTTTAGGAGATGTCAGGGGACCTTGGAGAGCTGTCAGAGGAGCTTCAGTCCTTGCAGGCGCTCAGGAGATCCTCATCCGGCTCACGATGCATTCACGAACACCACTGTGGCTCTCAGGTGTCTGTCAACTCCATCAAAGGCAGCCAAGGTGCACATGGCCTTCGAAGGGGATCCATGGATCTTCCTGCTTTAAGAGAGGACTTCCAAAACGCCTTACCCCCCTTCAGGGACTTGAACAGCAGTATGCGGAAGAAGAGCTGGCCCAGTATGAAACCAGCCCGTATGCAGGGCCACCAAGGAATAGGGGAAAGAGTGCTAGGGCGGCAGGATAGAGTGATGGAAGAGGAGGAAGAGGAGGAAGAAGATGGAAGGTATGATGTGTATGTACGCAGAGCAGGAAGCCGAAGGGGGAACTATGAAATGGCCCAGCAAAGGTCCTTGTCCATGGACTTCTGAAAAGAAAAAAAAAAAGTTTTGCACAGTAAATACTGCAGCGCAACTTCAGCCAGTGCCGCATTTTGGGAACAGTTCTTCATATTTACAGAAAATAGGAGACAATGCGTGGACACCGAAACAGCTGACATGAGACATTATTGTGCTATTTTTCATCGGTGTAAAAGTGAAGAAAGATGTTAATGCTGTTTAGTGTTCTTGTTATCAATGTATTTTGTAAAGCAAATATGATACATTTAGTTAAAATATGTTTTCATTCAGTGTTAAGGTTATAAATAATGTATACAGAGTTTGATTTTGTATGTGTTATTACCTGTATTAAAGAATAAATGCCTACATTTATGCACCATTGTTTTAGGAAAAATGTCATCCAGATACTGATATAGAGTCAGTTTTACACCAGATATTAAGCTACAGACCATTTTGGGATAGGATCACATATTCGGCAAAGCTCGGACTTACATTTAGGAGGTTGCAATTTCTCCTTCTCCAATTCCTACCCCTCCAATTCCTGCACCATTGCTTGGACGACACCATTTTCAACCATGCCCTTCATTTTATTTGAAAATTCTATATCTTTAAAGTTTTATGACTCAATCAGCTAAGTGCCTCCTGGACAAATGTTTTGCAATGATCATAATCTCGCACAGACTAAAGGTGAAAACAATACCACCGACATGCCGTCACGGTTGGTAAACACGCTGTTGTGCCTGGTTACCATCAGCAACCGTCTGTCAGCTGTGTTGCTTACAGGAGGCAGGTGTGTGAGTTGAGGCGGGGATCTTCCTAAAGGTGTGTCACACAAGTATGCTGGTTGGAACTTCCCATATAAAGTGAAATGTCAAAGTATGATGTTTTATAATATGATTACATGACCACAATAACATCAAACTGTTAACCTGCTTAATGGGAATAAAAACTGTAAATCTCAGTAATGTTATCTTTAAGTCTGATGAAAAACAGTTGTGTACCAAACATCATCGAGTTGCAATAGATACTGTAAGTGGAACTTGGAGCCCTGGAATGTGAAAGCTATATATTTGATTATGAGTGCCAGCAATGACCTTGTAAAATGGTTCAACTGAGTTTCACTAGAGTTTCTTATTATAACATGTTGTATCGCAATAATAATGTTGAGGAGAATCAGACAATGTAAAAAAGAAAATTCATATTGTAAAATCAGAGAAGTGTTTCTTTTTAGTTTTTTTTTATTTCCCAAAATGTATGTATTAGTCTTTATTTTCTCACACACAGCTTTGTGTTTAGTGTGCCACAACAATACTTAGATAACCTTGGAGCTGGAGGACAGAACGCATTTGAAAATCCAAAGAGTCACTTCCAAGCCACCACCTCCGAGTCTACTGCAAATCGGTGGTTTATTCATCACATTCAGAAAACTCACTGGGCAGATAATTAAATGAGCAACTATACACACAGACAATCATGAACATGCAGTGTTGTCACCACAGTATGTGTGTGTTTGTCAGTGAGCACTGTCATGTCACAATGATTAACACCATAATACACAGGACCAGCACAATAACAAGTAGACTATAGGGCTAACTACAAATAGGGTATCATTAACATTATGATTTACAATTATTTTTTTCATTGCATTTTCTGCCCTTATATTCGAAGAAACACAATTTATCAAATCTCTATCTTTCCCAGGAGCTGTATTTCTGCTGAGTAAGGCTTTTCAGTTACACTCTGGAAGGAGCAAAGTCATTATTTTCATCACAATATCCATGAAAAGGACATCTGGGGGTACATCAGGTAATGGATAGCTGCAACTAACACTCAGGTGCAGGTTGCATGGCTTTTTATTACTGCACATTAAAGTGACTCATCAATTTAAATGTGTGGGTATAAGCTTATCTTATCAGCATATAGGGGTGTTTGTTATACCTTCCTTGTCTTAATTAATAGCAAAATGAGAGAAGAAAAACAAAGCTCTGATAAATGGAACAACATTTATTTCTTAACAGGCAAGAAAACACATCTAATATCTATGATGTATCCCTGTCTGTTTCAATAGGGCAATTGCTACATTTTTTTTAATCCTTGTGTTATGTTTAACCCTCATGTTTTAATATTTGCCTCAACCCTATGGTATAGGTGACTGTGTGGCCTTCAACAAAGAATATGAACATCAAGTTATTTTTTACAGTGCGGTACATTAGTGAGTTAAGTGATTTACTACACAATACTGTTACTGTACAGGTTGGCCTGTTCCCTGTCAATCATTAACAGAGAGTTAAACTCGGAGACAAAGACACACACACACACATGCACACACGCACGCACGCACGCACACACACACACACACACACACACACACACACACACACACACACACACACACACACACACACACACACGCTTAAACATGACCATGGAGTATACGTTATTACACATAAAATCTGAACTTTTGTGCTGTGATGGTTGTGCGCTTGTGTGTGTGCGAACAGCAATATAACAATATGCCTCTTGTGTGACCTGAGTTACACAATCGAACACTATTCTTTATAAGGTACACACAGACATGACACAGCAGATATTGTGTTCCTTCTTGTGTGTGCAGCAACGCAGCATTCCTCACTGTTCTAAATGCAGACTGAACTCTGTGACAGTGTAGGTGACACAGACTTCTAAACGGTGAACACAGATTATGCAACCCCAACGGTTTTGGGGTTTGCAAGTCAATCAAAAATAATTATTGACTTGAACTAGAGAGTAGGCCTACTGAGGGACCATTTCATATCAAGAACAAATAAATGCAACAATTGGTTGAGCAGCACCTTTTCAAATAATATAAACACATTTTACATCGTAATAAAACATTAAAGACAAATAAATACAACACAATTGATGCACTATAATTTTCCCCACTCAGACCAAAGATTATACTTTATGCGACAAAGACAGAAAACAGCAGCACTGCATTAGTTGAGTATTTTTTGTGTCTTTCCTCATATTGTTTTTTTAATCTTCAGCCCATGTTGTTCTTCCGTCACAATGGACATGAAGTCTTTAAGTGTTCTGGCATGCAGTCAGTCTTCCTCAGGCCTGTGTGTTGTCCCTGCAGCAAAACAATGTCTCTCGATGCGTTTAAAGTCAACAATCAAAGAGAGGTCGGCATTGATTCATCGAAGAAGGCCATGTGTTCGTGTGTCACTAGCGGTGTATTCTCCCCAAGAACGGCCTGCGTGAAGTTGGGCCGTCTCCAGGCGTAAACCATACTGTTCAGGAAGCCTTGCAGGGACACACTGGCAGCCTGAAATAAACACAAACATCAATATAACATGCGACTCAGATATCAGATCATGTTTAAATATGTTTTTCATTTGAAATCTTATGAAACGTACCTGTATCATATAAATACCAAATAGGCTGCGTTGTTGAATGCTTGGTGTCCAGATCATCAGGGTAGACAGCAGAATGAGAACAAGTGCTACAGCAGGAAAGAACACAAAGCATTAATTTGATGTTGATTTGAAGCTGATGACGTCTATTTCATTGGCTACGGTGTGCGTGTGCGCCTCTGTGTGTGTTTACCTGGGGCCCAGCAGAATAAGATGACCAACACCATATTTCTTGATGTTGAAAACACTCTTTTGAATCTCCTTCTTGAACGTCCATCTCCCTCCACAGGGAAAAGTCCTTGCTGCTCATGTCTCTCATACCATTTACCAACCTTATAGTATATAACCTGAAACAAAAAAAGGTTACAGTCTGCTTTCACCCAAGTATGTATGACTCAAGGTTTAAGATAGCATTTTTAAAATAGACATCATAAAAGTAAATCTATGGATTATTTAATAAAAATGTTATGACTTACAGAGGAAGATATCATCACTGGTATCACAACAAGGAAAAGAATAACTCTGATGGAAATGTCATGAGTTATCTCCTGGTAAAGAAAACAAATGTTACGTTAGCACAAACACACTGCAAATGATATACCAGTCAAATATAATTTATAAAAATGGTGTAAATAAACACTGTAAATTCAAATGAATGTATACACAAAAGGCCTTAAAGTCTCATGAGACAGTTTTATACTCACGTCTTCAGAGCAGAACTTTCTCCCGACATGCAAGAACAATATACAACTGAGAAAAGAAACAATCAGACATTTCAGAATTGCATGAGAACGGATGTTTTCTCTCTCCTGTAACTCATTTTAAAGTAGTCACTTTAGAAGTAGCTATTAATAAAGCTTGTGTGCTCACCTAGTGCAGTATCTGCTGTCGTTACGGACAATCGTTGAGATCTCATTGAGTTGAATCAATGGGGCACTATTTTTGGGAGTGAGCACATATGCTAAGTATAATGCAATCGGGAACAACCTGTAATATAAGACAAACAAAAACACATAATTACATTTTGTATAACAGGGATAAAAAACACAAAGTCTGGAAAGTTAATTAAACGTATAATACGCTGTTGACCAACTCACCATACAATGGCATAAACAGGAATCGTGACTATTCTCCTTCTGCACTGAGTCTGTAAATCAGATGGATAGGGATTAATAATTAAATCAATTCTGTTTTTGTTGTCCATATTCAAATCCACAAATGCAGTGGACGCCTCACCTGTCCTCCCTCATCCCCTGTGGGTCTTGCTCTCCACCCTTGTATTGCATTCTTTGACTCCCATGCATAAACCCCCACCAGCAGAAATGATATAAAATAAAACGTCTGGAAAGGATTGGACAAACAGATTTTAATTATTTATTGGCCAACTTGGGTGTTTTGAGAACATAACAGAATTTCCAATATTATACTTAGTTCACTTATTTATTTATTTTTGATCAACTCAGAAATGTTAACTCAGAGTTTATTTTACTTTATTTCACTTTTACTTATTTACTTTCTGGTCTATATTTTCAGAAAAACCCCACAATCTGAACTAAATGGAATTGAGTTACACAGTTTGAGTTCCTTCATCAAATACTTTTCCAATCTATAGTCTACCCTTAAATGTTTTTACCTTAAAATACATTAAAAAGTGTGTATTCAGTAAATATGTAAGATTTAAGTTGATGCGACTTACATAAAGAGTTTCGTGAACAGCTATTGTAAAGTCTTAAAAACAATTAAAAGAGCATTGGGCTTCATCTTTCCATCTCAGAAATCAGTGCACAGAGGCATTTGCATTACTAAACTTGTCACGGCAAAAGTGCTGACCACTTTGCTTTGTATATGCAACACCAGGAACAATCCTCAGGGAACTCCTGCAGTGATTTGATTAGATAATGAGATAATGATCTGATCCTCAACCCGCTGGGAAGTACCAACATTTAGTCAGGTTTTTACCCTCAACTTCCCCACCTTGTTTTCGAAGGTTACAATGCAAATTTTAACCCCTTCACCCACCAGGAAAACAATATTTATTTGAAGAGGCGAGAGGCTTTAACCAAGTGAAAGTAATTGTTCCTCACCAGTGTCATCGGCAAGCCATAATGGCAGATGACTTCATTGTTGTTTGGCCTCACTTTGTTCAGGACACTGGTGGACAAGAGGATCAGAGCAGCCAGGAGGTCTGCGAGGGCAAGCTGTACCAGGAGGTGCACCTGCAAACAATACAAAAATAAAACAACAGTATAAAAAAGAAACAACAACAAACTATGAAAAGTATAAAAACATATATATTTGTATTTACTGAACCACCTGTTTCTTTAGATTCCTCCATCTCACAATGGAAACCAGCAAGACAGAAAAACTCCCAATCACACTGCAAATAATAAGAAATATTCAATGTAGACCATTGAGGCTGTGGCAAAATGATATTGGCACAATATTACTTTTAGTATATTTCTTATAAGGCTTATAATGAATGATGAACATAAAGTTGAAACTCATGGTATTTGGCACAAAACCGAAACCAAGAAGTGTTTATTGCAAAAGTCGGTGTTAATGACATATCTCAGACGCATGTGACACCTGCATATAAAATGACATACACCTCCTGGCTTAATACTAACTAACCAATGTGATTTGTTACCCGCTTGCCCTCCGTCTTATTGTTTTGCTTTCTTTATCACAAGCAAAAGAAATAAATCAAGAGATGATAAAGTAATACACAGCTCACAAGGCTGATGGAGTACAGTGATGGACGTTTTTTTAAAAGAATAAGAAGCTACAATTGACCTGTGAGCTTCAAGTCTGTGCTGACTATTACATTTACATGGTGGCAGTATCTTTAATATAACAGTAACGTAGGGTAAGAACACAGGAGGAATTCAGAAAGAAGACATATGCTCCCGCTTCAGCTAACATGTTGCCTTGCTGATTTGGCAAACCTCTCCACAATGAGAAGAATGGAAGTTTAAGATTATGATTCTGCTGATAGAGAACGCTTACTGTACAATGTTAAAATATGTGAAGCACATTACCTGAGAGTGAGTAACCCTATGTACTCTTTAGTGAGAACATCAATCTGAAAAACAGAATTCAAACATTACATCATAAATGTCCTTATTATTTCTCTCCTAAAAGCTTTTATTAAAATATGCTCTTTTAATGTTATATGTATTCATGAACTGAACAGTGTTAATGCCTACCTGCTCTGCACTCAGTAAACCATGGTCCTCCATGGTAAATATCCAGTTATCAGTCTATTAAAAACTCACACTCTGTTCCTGCACAGGTACAAACCCTTCTCCATACCTGGCCTTTGTCAATATATGTATTTGTATCCAAGCACATATCTATAAAAGTATGCACCTTGTCACATGCTGCTGCTTTGACTCCACCTGTTTTCAGAATAGTTAGTGCCACTCTTTAGAGACATGGGACTTCCCAGGTACAATTGGAATATTCCCTGTCTTACCTCCAGTCTCTCAAGAAATTAAAACACTTACAGGAAACAGAAATACTGTGAAACTGAATTTCCAACAATTTTCCAAGGACTTTTACCTTCTTTTTCCTACCAAAATAAAATGCCCATGCTTGTGTTTTCCCGTAGCCTGCATGTATATTATCTATTCTCATAAGAATGTCTCTGTAATTAATTAGATTGATACACAACTGCTGTATACACACCAACACACACAGGGCTTTGAAGCACAGTGACTCTGAACTCGGTACTCAAGATACCGTGTATTATACTGTATACAGTATGGTTGTATTATATCATTATACATCACTATTACTTGTGATATATACTTTTTGCACTACTTTTTATTTTGTATTTTATTATATATGTTGGATTGTTGGAGGAGCTCAGGTCATAAGATTGTCATTGCCATTTATACACTGTAGCTTTGTGCATGTGACAATAAAACCTTTGAATCTTGAAAGAACGGTAAAGTCTGTGTTACAGAGCTATCTAGTGGTAGGAATCGGCCTTGCATTTTGGCCTGCTACAAACCTTTAAAAAGCTAACTTTTGTTCAGTGTTCAGGACGGACACAACTATTGATGATGGCGCAGGGTATACTGTACAAATGGGCAGGGTATATTGTACGAATGGGGCAGCTTAAATGTTTTCGGAATAAACAAGTAATGCATTGAAAAAGTCATTGTCCACAGTTGTTGACGTATGTCGATAAAGTTTATTCAAAGTGATGACGTCGTGGATTCCACGTTGGCCCGGACGTGGCAGTCGGAAGACCTCAGAGGAGCTGTACCTTAAACATCCATGAGCTGTATGCGGATCAGTGTGAAACGACCACACGTCGCTGTTGCCTGGCTAATATCAGTTCTTCCTTAATTCTAACATTATCAGCCAGCCATGGGGCTCACTATCTCTTCACTCTTCGACCGTTTCTTTGGCAAAAAACAAATGAGGATTTTGATGGGTGAGTGAAAGCTACGTTAGTGAGGGGGTTCGGTTTTTAGCTTTAGCTTTAGATAAAGTAGCTAACGTTAGCTAGTCGTTGATGAGCTTTCAATAGCATTGCAGTTATCAAACTTTTAAAGTATAACATTGGGACAGAAGCGGCATACAAATAAAACTTAGAACGATGTAGTGATTGTGACTGTGGAAACTAAAGGATACAATAATCATATAAAGTGTTCAGTGAGCTTCACGTCACGTTAGCTAGTTTTAGGGTTTGGCAGTGAAGACTGCCAACGACAACTATATCCAGAAAATGGCTTAATTACCAGTTAAGCCCCGTGCCCCCGGTACAAAGTAAAATCTTTGACACTGTAAGATATTTGAGTGAAAGCTTTGGAGTTAACTTTTAACGATTAATTACTTAACTTTGTATTCATTCGGGAGATAATGAACGGTTGTCAGTGACATTATTATAAACATAACATGTTGGCTGATATGAGTTCACCTAACTTGAATTTAGACGGTAACCTGTTACCTGTAAACTTTGTTTAACTTGTTGTTTGGTGACGCTAACTAACTCCTAGTGACGACTGTGTTGCGTCATGTTCCAGTCCCGTATCCGGATTGTTGGGCAATGATAGTTTTTAAAGTTGAATAAAGACCAAGATAGTTTTTAATAAGCAGTGGGCATTCCTTCCACTAGAAGTGATTCATGAAAATGTCTCAGTACACATGCATTGTGTGTGCAGTCATATGTAAGTCCTTTGCTGTCTAATGATTAGACTTATAGGAAACGCCTGTTATGCAATTTACAGCAGGTTGTCATCCATATCTATTAACTCCTAATCTCTCCTGATAAAAATGTTGACCTTTTCGTTCACATTTTCTCCTGTAGTTGGCCTTGATGCTGCCGGAAAAACGACTATCTTGTACAAATTGAAGCTTGGGGAAATTGTGACCACCATTCCAACCATTGGTAAGAGACACTCCAACAGTTACTATTACTTTTGACAAATGAAACTTTGTATTCAGTGTTATTAAATATGCCCCTTATCTTCCCCCGGAAAGGTTTCAATGTGGAGACAGTAGAATATAAGAATATCAGCTTCACCGTGTGGGATGTGGGCGGTCAGGACAAGATCAGACCCCTCTGGAGACATTACTTCCAAAATACACAGGTATGACAGGTGTGACTGCGCCGATGCTGACTGCCCATGTTTAATATAATAACTGTAGTGTCAAGGAAGAGGAGCAGCAGTATTACGCAACTGTAAAATGCTTCTTCTCTGATCACCAAGTAAAGATATTTGATTACAATACTGATCAACCAGAACTCATCAAAGTATGATGCTTCATCAAGTAGACACATATTTCTAAAGGGGCCACAGATTCCACTTAATGCCATTTGTACTTGTGTATTAATTTGTACACACACACACACACACACATACACACACACGTTTGTGAACTAAGATAAGATGGACCTTTATTAATACCGTGGGGAAATTCAGTAGTTTAATAGCAACAGGGTAAGGATGAAAAACAGGACAGTACCGATTCACACAGATTAATACAATTCAAATCAAAGATACACATTTAAAATAATAAAATAAGAAATGAATTAAAATGAACATATATACATATTAGTCATATATACATATTAGATATATTTACATGTGTGTGTGAAAACGGTGTGTATTTTATGTCCAGTAATTGTGTCACAAAGCTTTATGTTCTTGTTTTCCTCTGGCTACATTGGGGCTGTTTGTAAAAGTAAATACATTTCAAACTATATTAATATTAATGCTCTGAATGTTGTATGGAGAACCTTTTCTTACTGTGATTGTTTAACCCAGATCATTCCTTCATTAGCCAAACTATTAAATGTTTTTTTTGGTAACAAATCTCCAAACTGTACTTAGGCCTGTCACGATAATTAATTTTGTTGGACGATAAATGTTCCCGGAAATTATTGCGATAAACGATAATATTGTCGGCACTGTTGTAAGACCATTTTAGACCACTGACATAATGATAATATATAATAATAATTCAAGTACATCCTTTCAAACATAACTTTTTATTGAACATTGCAATTGAAATGTGAAATAATAATATTCAAATATATAAATGATATATAATAAATAAAACAAATGAAATATATACATAAATAAATATGAGCACACATTGTCTCACAAGCAAAAAAAACCTCCTTAAAATAGCAGTCGAGTGTACAGTCCACTAGGGATGCTCCGATCGAGATCGGCCGATACTCACTCTCTACCGATCGATCGGTGCTCTCTAAACATGCCGATCGCGAGAGCCGACCGCATGACGTAAAATACATGACACTTTTCTCTGTGTGCGGCAAAACAAGCTCGCCAAAATGGCTTCACCGGTCTGGCAGTATTTCAAGGTGTCCGAAAAAGACAGTAAAATAGCGGAATGCAACGTGTGTGAAGCAGAAATCCTGCAGCTCCACCCGCTGAGACGCACCGGTGAGCGGAGCGAACAAACACACAAGAGTTAGACCTACTTAGCTATTTGATCTACCTCTGGAACAAGCTAAACTAGTTATTATACATATATTTATTCTTCACTGTCGGGTCACTCATTACTGGATCAGTGAGCTGCATGAGATACTGACAGGCTGTCAGGAGAGGGAGAGAGGGAAAGAGAGCGCTTCCGCTCATTTCTCCCGTGTTATTCTCCAAAGTGAATGTAAACTTGAATAATGTACATCATTTGAATGTAATAATTAAGTTGATTGTTGTTTGTGGAAGCTCCAGTGAATGAGCCCCATTAACTGAGTTTTAAACATCACTTTAAATGGAAGATTTAAAGTGATGTTTAAATCTTCCATTTAGGCCGCCCACTTGATCGGATCGGCGATCGGTATCGGCCGATACTGATTCCGGCGATCGGCCCCTGAAATTGGCGATCGGAGCATCCCTACAGTCCACTGTCCATACAAAGACCCAGATGCCTCAACAGGCCATATCCAAATCTGTGCATGTAAACGGCAATTTATCGAGCTCAGAAAAGTAATCGAGTCCATTTTTATTTATCTTACGATAAGTCAATTTATTGATTATCGCGACAGGCCTAAATGTACTCCTCTCCCAATTACTGTTGTAGTTGTTCTTGGATTATATTCAATAATTAGCCATTTCTACACATCTGGTAATGGTAAACTGTACATAACTACAAAACAACATTTTAGTCTTTATAAATGAATTTACTCACTAAAAGTTATTTTCAGAATGAATTGATTGTCAAGTCTATAAAATGTATTTTTTTTTTAATGGAAGAATATCAGCATAACAGTTTTCCATATTCAAAAATGACATCTTTGAATGTCTATAGCCAAAGATATACAGCTCACTATCACCGAAGATCAACTAACCTCGTTGATTTATTTTTCTGACCTAGGGCCTCATCTTCGTGGTAGACAGCAATGACAGAGAAAGAGTGGCAGAGTCTTCAGAGGAGCTTCAGAAGATGGTTGGTATTACATTTGTTCAGCATGACATGGACTGAATATTGTTCTCTGTGCAGGGATGAATTACAGAGAGCTTCATCATTTGGCATTATTGTTGTGACATGCAGAGTTGTTGACTCATGTTGTGACGTAGGTAAATCAAAGTGAATATAATAGTGTCAACCCTACATTGGATGACAAGCCTTTAAACCAAAAACAACAGGATCTGTTCATGAAGATATTGCGTGGTTAACCCTTGAATTTCGAAATCATTGTGTAACCTTGTCGACTTCTACTGAGCACATCAACAATACAAGTGCCCGATTGCCTTAAATCTCACTTGATAAACGCAGTACACTGAGTCAGTGTAACAACAAATGACTGAAGTAAACACTCCATGAAATGGTTATAATGTTTGCATTTTATTCATTGTAATCAAGTTTTTTTTTTTAACCAAGGTAGATTTATTTTTACCCTGGATTTTTGTCGATGCCTAAAACTATCAAATGTTTAAAACAATTTAGAACTGACTCTTTTTCCTTCTAGCATTTTGAGTGTTTGAATGTATTGACCACCTGCAAAATAGGTCTGCAGGGCTCGAACCAGGGACATTGTAAAGCTATAGTCAGCTTCTCAGATCCCTAATATTAGAGCTGATACTAATCTACCGTCTGCCCCTCTAGTTGACGGAGGACGAGTTGAAAGACGCCGTTTTGCTGGTGTTTGCTAACAAACAGGACCTTCCCAATGCCTTACCAGTCAGTGAGCTTACAGAAAAACTCGGCCTACAAGCCCTCCGCAACAAAAATGTAAGTAAACATGCTCCGCATACACCGGAGTGTAATTTGTAATCATGTGCAGAGTTGCATTTATATTTCTTCCTATGTAACTCACGCCATATCCTCTTTGTCCCCACAGTGGCACATCCAGTCAACCTGCGCCACCCAGGGCAGCGGGCTGTACGAAGGACTCAACTGGCTGTCCGAGGCCTTGACCAAGAACTAAAGAAGGATCAGCTGGAGAGATGAGAGAGAAAGACTGAACCCAACAGGACGGGAGAGAAGGCACAGACATTCAATCCAGAAACATTTGGCCTTCTAGCACCAATGTTCACAAAAAGGACAAGGCTGGAGGACAACATGTAATCATCTTTGGAACATTTTTAATTACTTTTTTTCCTTCTTTTATTATCAATGATATTACCATATTATCTTTTGACATAGTCTCTATTTTTCTCCTATCGTTCCTAAGCTCTTTAAACGGCGATATGTTGTAGTGACACATTCAGTTGCATGATGAGCAAATGGCCTGTTAGGGAAATGTAATGCAAGCAATGCAAAGAATAACGGGAGGTGTTTTCCACTCTAAGCCCTGGCTCCTGTCTCGGTAGCATTTGCATTAATTGACCACTTTTATAATTGTTGGACTTTCTTACAGCCATTGTGGAGCCTAGGTTGGAGGTATGATAATATACCTAGGGCTTCGAGAAGGACACCTTGTCGGCTGCCTCAGGCTGTTCCTCTCTGCATCCCCTCGTGGATATTTGACTTCCTTTGCGCTGCACTGCTATGTCTCATGCCAACTCATTTCTGTGAGGGCCTTTAGCTCGTAGAATGAGAAGGATGACGATTGCAGCAATTAGTTGGTAGTGTGAAACCACGTGGCCTCCGAGTAAATGGATCCACAAAGGAACTTTGTGCCTTCTGGTCCTTCGAAATCACAACATCTGAGTAAACCTTTCCTTATCTCATTCTGAGGTCATGCTCCCTTACACGATGCTTTAGTGACTTCTGCTTTTGAAAGACAAATAATGGGTTGAGACATTTCCTTTTGTTCTGCAGTGTGTGCTGAGGTTCAGTAAAACCCCCGATCTGAGTGTAGATAGCTTCTTTACAACTTGAACCAGGTTTTCTTCCTGTTTAAACATTTGTGGATCTGCACTCCTCTTCCTCCTTTTTCTGATGGCTACCATGAAGAAGGTTTTGATTAAATGTCATTTCTTCAATTTACTTTAACGGAAAATCTCTTTTACCCTAAAACGAGGAAGGAAGCGTCTTTTCAGTTTTCACACGACAATGTTGTGTGACACAGTAAAGTAGCATGTTTTTTGTTGTTGTTTGAGTTTGTTGTACTTCCTGAAGGTTAATACTGTATTATAATCTTTTCTACCCCTCTTGAAATACAAATACACACCTGGCCTTTAGTTTGTTTTTGTGTATACATTCCAACCTATGCTTGCCGATCCTGGAGTTGCCACTCTTAAAATTAGCAAAATAATATTTTACAAAAAAGCTCTGAATAAAGACAATGTTTAAAAAAGACTATGCGTTTTGGAATCCACTCATTGTTGATGACGGCAGTTGTCACTTTTTCTCTGGACTTTAAGTTGTTACTCATTAAAAGCATCGTGAAAAAAATCAGATCATCCTTACTACATTTTCAAATTTCAAAGTTTCATAATTTCCAGCTCATAAATTCCAGTTGTCTTTAATCAGGAAATGAGCATTTCAAGAAGTGCTGTTTACTTCTGAGACTAAAAAACGCTCTTCATACAGAAAATAGACAATATGATTATAAAAATACTGTACAATACTCCAAACTAAGGTGAGACGTATTCAGGGTCAGTGGGGTGGAGCAGTTTGAGAATCCTGAACCCTTTTGTGTTTTTCTCCATGAGACTCCAGCTTTGTGGTTTTATCAAAACCACTGAACTTCCTCAAATGTCCAGCTTTGTGGTAATATTCATTTGTTTAAGGTAATCTGCACCACGAAACGCACTGCTTCTTTATGTGGAAGATAGCCCTTCGCAGGTTAGCTAAGCTATTACTTGCTCAGCAATTTAAAGGATATGGGTTTCAATAAGCTTTACTGGAAACCAACAATTGGAGAGTTGAACGCAATATCCCTGAAACGCCCATCAATACTATTCAGAGGCAGCAAGCCAACATTACCCAACATGCAGCTGACCATTGTTCTGACTTCTAATGACATTAAATGATTAAGAATGGCAGGGACAAGCCACCATGTTAATCTACATAACTAATGAAGGTGCCTTAAAGAAACAAACTGAGGTAACTCTGCAGTCCTCACACAGGGCAGCAGGAGAGGAGAGGGAGATGTATCTTCATCATAATTATGCTGGTCAATTTCTGTACAGCAGGGGGCGACGTGTCCCACCATCAGACATGGCAACAAACAATACGCTTATATCTGGGTGTCACGTTATAAGCACCTTCCTACATTGTTCATGGGTTAAGGTATAAGCTTTATATAATTGGCTTGCTATAATGTTTGAATGTGTGTTCTAATGTATTTATGACAGCTCATCAGTATTACTGGAGCTGTGGAAACACTGCACAGTGTATCCTGCTGCCTGAGGTACCAATTCCCTGTTCTTTTAAACTCGGAAACTTTACATAAGATTTACAGCTTCACTGCCCAATAAGGTAAGGTCATATTTAAACATGGTATTGTATTATATTAGTGTGGGAATCTGACGTCATTGTCACCTGATGCGGTCACATGACCGGTGACCGAGTAAACAGGAAGCCATAAAAAGTTTGCCGTTGTCAGTACCAGATATGTTCGGGTGTATTTCCGTCGCATCCGTCTTCCGTCATATACTCACCTCCCTCTGCTCCCAGCGCTCTGCTGCCACACACTGGCCGTCTGCGGAACTGCAGTCGGAGGAACTCGGGACAGCTTGTTATGTGTGGGGTGCTATGGTGGGGTCCCATGTACTTGTGCACATAAATAATGTTTCTAATTATTTACAATTAAAAAATATATATATTCTACGTTACTTTAGCCAACACTTTTATAAGGCCACTAGATTAGATAATTACGAAATGTGTAGATAGAATACATATATTTCAGGTTGTTATTTTGTCATTATGTTTAATGTTTTATTTACCTTTTAGTATTTTTATATAGTATCTGAACTTTGGAGAGGAGTTGGGAGACACACGACACATCAAATCACACCTACAGATCAAGGCGAAGCGAATGGAAGTACTCCCATACTCCTAGCGTGAAAATGTTTGTGAAAACGTGTGCAAAGTCTCCGAAAATCCTAAAAATAAGCTCATATTTGAATTCATCATAAAAAAACACATCATTCAGTAAAAACAAGGCCCCACTGATCATCTACTCTCTGAGACGATTCCAGGGATGTCTGGCTTGAGTTTCGACCACCAGGGAAAGTGGACAAAAGTGCCCGAGATCAGCCTCTTAATTTACCCAGGGCCTAGTGCTTGGCTTTGGGCATGAAAATTCAGGAAACTCCCCTGAGTATTTTATTAAATATCTGAACTTTGGAGAGGAGTTGGGGGACACACGACACATCAAATCACATCTACAGATCAAGACGAAGCTAGTGGAAGTACTCCTAGCCTGTGAAAATGTTTGTGAAAAACGTGTGCAAAGTCTCCGAAAACGGAGCAGTGGCTGTGAAGCTAGCTTTGCGGCTAGCGGTTAGTTGTTATTGTTTGAAGTTGTTGCTATGGAAACAACATAACGGAGAAAAAATTAAGATCTTCTACATAATATAATAACGGACAAAGTAAAGAATGAAGTGTAGGCTATGCCTGTTTGAAGTTGTTGCTAAGGAAACATCATGACGGAGAAAAAGTATAATCTTCTACATATAATAACGGACAAACTAAAGAACGAAGTGTCGGCTATGTTTAAATGTTCGGAATTTGACCGTGATGGCCCTCTTGAGTTGCCGTAAAATATGACGGATGCGACGGAAATACACCCGAACATATCTGGTAGCCCGAACATATCTGGTACTGACACCGTCAGTTCAAGAAAGTCTCTCTTGGCTGCTTGTCACTGGTCTTCTCCCTCTCACAAAGGTAGGAATAACAGTTTTAAGGTGGTTTTATGTTCTTTTAAATTAACTTATGCAAGTGGCTCATTTAGTTTGGTTTTATTAGGGCGAGTGCAAGACGAGAGTTTACCATTGACGGAGGAAAACTCTCCCGACAGGCACAAGACCGGGTCTGTTATGAGTAATTTGCTTTTAAATGGCGTTTTTAAACCGACGTTTTTAATTGTGTTTTTAAGCAACTTATTTATGTGTTTTTACAGAGCTTAATGTACACAACCGGCCCAGCTACCCGGGATATTAAGTGACCATTTCCCCGGCAGGATTACGCCGAGTTGGAAACCTACTCTGTGGAAGTATGCCTTGTTTTGAACTCTTTCATTTTATATTGAGTTGGTGAATGAGGCTGGCAACTAACATGTTATGTTGTTTCCTTTTCAAAAGGACCAGGCCAGCCACTGTCCTATAGTGTTTCTTGTGTATTTTCTTACCCATTTTCTTCATGTGCAGTGTATGGCAGTATAATCATTTTAATATTTGTGTCGTAGCTTGCGCTCCTCTGCGGCGTAGGCCTGGGCCCGGGTGGAACGCTGCCTGCCTTCAGTGTAGGGACTGCACGGTGTGACACTTTATTTTCTGTATGCTAAATAACTCCCTGTTATTATTTTATAGAGATTGTGGTTTAAATATTGCATGCTTATGTTGTTTTGGTGTGTGGCTTTTCTTGTTTTTGTCCCTCACGATTAGCAGGCACTGCAACCCAGCGGACCGGGCCTGCCCAACTGAGGAGGGTAACTTATATATGTATTGAATTGTATTTGCCATTTTTATACTGGACATGAATCGACATTTTAAACTGTTTCCAAACACTTATTAAATAAAGCTGTGTTATGTTTTTGGAATTCATGCCTCTGTCATAATTGGACCGATTAAGGGAAGCTTTAAACAAAGCGATCCACGACTTACATTTAGGGTCCACGGGTTCCTCCTGCCCCTTAGCAGGAGGTGGCGTTGTCAAGTACTAGCTTTACATGTGGCAACCTCAGTCATGGTTGCCACATTAGGCTAGTAGTTTACAGCTATTTTATTTATTCTTTGCATTCTTTATATTTTCTAATGTCCTTTCCAGATCTATAGGCTTTTTGTTTTTTTAAACAAACTTAAATTTAGTATGAAGACTCATTCACAATATGCTAAATTACTGCAAAAAATGATACCAGCAAAAAAAACATGTGCATGACCACATACATGTCCGTTCAAAATCTGTGTCTGAATCAGAATCAGAATACCTTTATTAGTTCCACAGAGCCAAAGACAGCTTAATGTTACCTAAGTATAGTAGCATGCATATACATGGCTCACATTGATGTGTTTTCTTCTGCAGGATAATGCAGACCTTGATACCAGTACCACAGCCCTCCTTATCCCAGGCCAGGGAGAATCTGGTGAATGCTTTCCCCCCCAGGCTCCTCTGTCTGCTGGCCTGCGGAGGAATAGGTTGCCGCTATGAAGGACCAGAGTGTTGGAAATTAAATCAACAGGTCATTCGAGGCATCTTCTCCTGGTGAGAGGATGTGATTGAATCTCATTATATGTGGCTGAATTTGCTCCATCAAAAACAATAAGTGTACATTTACAGAATTGTTGAACGTCTTGCTATTGCAGGGTGACAGATGACATCATAGCCATGGCACGGCCATCTAGTCATCTAATTAAGAAGTACAAAATCATAGAGCAATTTCAAAGGTAATCGGTTTTGATTGTTATCTCTGTAATGTTTGTGTGGTGTGCATGATACATGAGAAGCACGTGTGACAACATAATATATACAACCTCCTGCCCGCTTACATGTTAGGATCCAAATGACATTTTTGTATTTTTGTAATCATTAATCTGATAAAGAAATCTGACATCCTTGCTTTTTGGTTACACTGAGTAATGCCTTCAATTTAGGACATATTAGATCTTTATTGTCACAAGAAATATTGCCTTTAAGACAAAGTCACAGCACTAGTGTGTCCACCGTATTCTTCTTAATTTATGAGTTTGTTCCAGGTTAAACATCAGATCAATCATCAACATGCAGCTCCCTGGAGAACACGCTCACTGTGGACCTCCCATAGAACCTGACAGCGGTTTCACGTACTCCCCACAGACCTTCATGGACAATGACAGTGAGATTGTGATACATTTGATACAGAAACTGTTTTGCCCTCTTTATATCTGAACAAATTGGGACATCTAGATAAACATTCAAGGTTAATATGATATGAGGTGCAGTGTTTGTGTGGTCCTTCATGATACAATGGCTTACAGGTAATCCCAATGAATGTCAACTATGATCCTAAATGCAATCATATGTGCACATATTTGTATGTTTGCAGTTTACTTTTATAACTTTGGGATGCAAGACTTCAATGCGTCCTCCCTTGTTGGTTTAATTGACGGGGTGAAGGTTCTGGCCTTTGCACTGAGGGAAGGAAGAGTGGCCGTGCACTGCCATGCAGGCCTGGGCAGATCAGGTATGTATAAACAAACACACTGTATCTAGTATGTAAACACATGTGAATATTCAGTGTGTGTTCTTGCTGCTCAACAGGCGTCCTGATAGCCTGCTACTTGATTTACACCCTGCGCATCAGCCCAAGTGAGGCCGTTCATTATGTGCGGATCAAACGCCCACACTCCATCCAAACTCGGGCCCAGCTGAACCAGGTGTTTGACTTTGCTCGCCTGCTTGGCTCACAGCTGGTTCAATACCCAGACCCTCGCCTGCGGCACTGAGACCCTTTCAGCCTGCAGCTGCACCTGGACAGACAGGCCTTACTGCTGCATGGCCAGGAGGCACGCACCCTCAAACAAACACCAAAGGTCTGGACCGTACATTATTTATTTTCCATTAACATAAATCACTGCACATTAGTTTAACTGCAGTTTTACTTGAAATAGGTGGTGTACCTCCTGTGTGTGTATCTCTCCTGCTTAGCCCTGGGTCTCCCTGCCCCTCCAGAGATCCAGGCTGAGCTGGACAAGAGGTCAGCACTGAGGAGCCTGAGCAGGACCGTGAGGGAGAGCCTGGTGTCGAAACAGTGCTTGCCCTTACTGAGAGAGTGTCACCAGGGGCCAAGAGTGAGTTTAGGATCGGTGTCCTTCTGGGACGAGCCTCTGGGCTTTTTGACGAGGAAGAGAGAGGTGCTGCAAGACAAACGCAACTACAGTGACTCTGACCTCAGCAAGATCGCAGTAAATCAGGTCCAATTTGACTTTGTTTGTCCACAATTACATTCTTCTTTTGTAAATCAAACTTAGGCTTTTCTCACTCTGTTTGATTCTCTTCTGAAGGATCTGGAGTTGAGTCCATACTGCAACTCAGAAGCTGGAAATGAAAGACAGGTTTGTGTAAAGGATCTGACACAACCTGATCTGAGACCAGCTAGTCCGATCCTTGCCAGCATCAAACAAGGCCTCCAGCCAACCAAAATGGAATCTCAAGCACTCAACATGCCAGCATCTAGCATGACATCAAGCAACGACTGTGCTCTGAGGTCAAAGTGCTCAGCTAGAAAGGCACTTCCCAAATACAGCTCCAACATTGAGGTAACTGAGATTATTATTATTACAATAAAACCACCACACTTCAGACTATCATTAATGGTCCGGCCCTCAACAGCTCTATGTCAATTATGGGATGTCCTCACATGCCGTTGCCATGGCAACGCGTCCATCGCCAAAAAAACTCATGTTGTCCTAATTCAATGGAAAATGGTCCAAACTGCACCAGACTTCAGATGACACTTAATGGTCCGGCCCTCAACACCTCAATATGACAATAGTGAGTTCTCCTCAAAATATGTTGCCATGGCAACACACCCCTCGCCGTTAAGCACGATATTGTTATAAATCCTTTGTATATGGTCAAAAACTGTTCTAACTGTACATGTGTATTAACCGTCAAGCCCTCGAGACATATATGTGGAACTTTTGACATTTATTCAAATATCGTTGCTATGGTAACCAAATTGTCGCCTTGAAACATGGTTTTCTCATAAATCCTGTTAACATGCTCCAAACGGCACAAAAATTCACCGGTTTGATAACGATGCAGCCCTCAACACATCTAGGCGTATTATGGGGTGTCATCAAATGCCGTTGCCATGGACACAGATCGCCCGCCATTAAACAAAATCTTTGTGTTACTGCTGTAACTCAAAGACATTGTCCGATCGGCCTGAAACTTCGCACGTTTGCCAACGGCCCAGTCCTCCAGACACCTACACACGTCGACGTGCGGACAACAGCCTGCGGAACGTCGAAGACCCGCTCAACGCTGCTCGCAGTTTTAATTATGATTAATATTATTATTATTATCATTGTTGTCCCTGTTTCCTTTATAAAGGTGCTTCGAAACATGACCCTACAAAGAAAACAGCACCGCAGTGTACCTTTGGATCACGTCATGAAACCAAGACTGAGATCACCCCTGGACCGAGCTACCTCATTCCCTCCAACATCACCAGAGTACGCCCTCCTGCTTATTCTCTCTACAGCCGTCCAAAGGATCCAAAACTATTCCAGACCCCTGGACCAGGTCAGCAAACCCCCTTGCACATTTGCAAAAAATGAAACAAGGCTGATATCAAATCTCCGACTACTCATTCAAAATTGGAAATATGCTGTTCTTGTCATGATGCATACATTCATTTGTGATAAAAACTTTCTGTGGTTTTCAGCCACATACTCCCCAGAAAATGCTGGAAAGTCAGTCTTCCACTGTGCTATGTCAGGGAGGGGCAAAGAAATCAGCAATATTCAAACACCAGGTATGTATTTGGTGTCAACTTCATTTAAGCTGTGGGTTACTAGCATATCTGGAGGCGTGTGGCGCAGTGGATAGAGCATTGGTGTTTGGATCAAGGGAGCACAGGTTCAAACCCCACTGGGCAAGACACTTCACCCCAAATTGCTCCTGTGGGGATTGCCCACACTATTGAGTATGTAAGTCGCTTTGGATAAAAGCGTCTAACATGTAATGTAACAAGTAACATGTAATGCATATCAACTTCCCCTGTATGTTGCTCCTGCTGCAGGTCCAGCCTCCTACTCTCTGCCCCCTCTGCTGGGAAACAACACTGTGGTCAAATCCACAGCTCCCTCTTTCTCTCTTTGTGGCTGCAACAAACATGGCAACTTCTATGAGGACCTAAGTAAGGTACATATAAGTGTCAAACACATTTCTTAAACAATAAATCCTGAAATTCTGTGATGTAGTTATTTTCAATAATTGTGTTCCCCTCCAGACTCCAGGCCCTGCTGCGTACAACGTTGTGGACCCTAATATTTACATGAAAAAATGTCCTCAGATCAGCATGACAGGCCGCAACTTTCCACCTGGGGTATCTACAAAGACTCCAGGACCTGGTGCATACTATCCTGAGATGGTAAGAAACCACATTGAAGATTAAATAAATATATCACAAATATGTAGCATTTCCACTAACATTTCTCTCCACCAAGATGACCTGCACAAGATCCAAAGCTCCGAGCTTCTCTTTTGGAATGCGTCATTCGGATGGAAAATCCTGAATAATATCTTGTTGATCTCTTGTTTGAACTGGAATTCATCATGAATAAAGCAGAAAAAGCCCAATGAAGTAAAAAAAAAAGCAAGTTTTGATCAAATTATTTTTGCCACAGTTAGCTACATGTAGCTACTTATTGTATTAGCATTAGTTATTTTGTCAGGGTTATATCCACAATCAGTATTTGAAATAAATTATACTGAATTTGACAAACGTTTTAAGAGTAGTACATTTGACATTTCTAATAATGTAATATGATCTTATTTTAAAATAGATATTTGCTATTTGTTGTCTGAGCACAATATTTAAAGACATTTGTTTCGCTTTGAAAACAAATTCTTTAGTATTGTAATTTGAATTGGAAATAATAAAACACGTTAAAGTTGCTTCTCCATTTTACCAAATGTAAGACATTAATTCCTAAAATATGTGCAGCATATGTGCTTCAAGGACATCTCTTGTGGTAACAGGTAGAGGAATGATTCCAAATTATAATTTGTATAATCTGACTGCATGATACACTGTTATGGAAATCTAAAAAACCCCAATACTGTAGAGCACAAGTCAGAAAATAAATAAATGGCGAATCAAACAGAGTTGTCTTTCTGGTGATGTTTATTCGAACAAACATCAGATACAATAAAATATAGACACAGGTCTCACAGAGTATAGGATAGTCTGCGCGAGTGTGCGCAGTTCAATATAGTAGCAAAGCTTATATAGTAGAAATGATGAGAAGGTAAGAAATCTGTCTTCACACAGTCACATTGTTATTAGACACCTGGCCTTGAGCTGTAGAAGTTCTCGTGTGACTTTGTGTGAGTCTCAACCTAGTAGCCAAAACAGCTCTGTGGCCTTGAAGTAGGATAGATAGAGCAAACGGCACATCTAAACCAAATGAGAAGCATTTGGTTTTAACATATCAGGATATAATACAATTTCCACTACAACACTTACTTACTTTTTTAATACTTATTAATGTGGTCCTGCAGATGCAGAGTTGACTACAATCCTCATTCTTCACTGCCATTGAAAGCAAATGGTAAGAAAAAGGTTTATGCCCATCTACTTCGGCCCCATGGGACCTTATTTCTGAAAAATGATGTATTGTACTCAATAGTGTGGGCAATCCCCACAGGAGCAAAATTATCTTTTAAATTGACAAACATCATATGTGTAATTCGTGGCACAATTCAAACGGGATCAAAAGATAATCTTTCTCTCTCCATTGACTTCAATACATGATTTTTCCAAAATAACGTCCCATGGAGGTCCACCGGAGAGGGAGGGACTTCGCCACTCTGTACTATAAAGGAGGTGTGTCCTAATTAAACAGTTTAGTGAAACAATTCTGCTACTACTCACTGGGTGAGATCACATGGAAGCTATAGAAAAAGAAAACAAGATTTTGTAATAAAAAAAGAGCTGAAATTTGGGGAGAAATAAAAAGTGGAATAACAAATTATAAAAACAGATGTGTCCCACTCTTCGAGCAATTCTGCAAAGATTTTGAGACAGTAGGTCACATGACAAGAGGAATACAATCCAGTAAAAAACACATTCATTAGTAATACTTGGAATGGCATTGGAATCAATGAGTCATGTGACATTGAAGCTTTTGAAAATAAATAAAACGATCTTCTATTAAAATATGTTTCAAATAAATTCATGACACATGAGGAAATTAAAATATCTGTACAATTCTTATAATTTTGTTCTATAATTGGGGCAAGTTAGCACATACAAAAAACGAATTAGCCTTCTTGACAGGCACTTGTAAGGGCAGCAGGAACACTGACAACGAGGTCCTTCAGGCGTCCCCGTTGCATAGAAACGGAAACCTTCGGCGACATCATAACACATCTACAAACTTTAACGTCTGGATGCCTAGATGAGTGCATCAACAACCGGTTCATTGTGATTGAAGATCAGAATATACACAAGACAATCGGAGACATTTTTGATAAGTGCTCTAGCTTAACAAATGCTAACAAGGCTACTAGCTGTTACCTAGCTGTGTTCAGTGGTCACTGTGTGTACAGTACTCAAAAGAGACTTTAAAAGACACATGTAAACAATTAACGTCTCTGGACTATTCTCAGGTTTAGTTAGCATTAGAGGATAAACTAACCAGTGTAATGAGTGATATCAAGCCGACCCTCACGATGTTTACCTCAGCTAGCTAACACTCATTCTCTTTCGTCGGATGCTAGCTTCCGTAGATCAGCTGTTCAGGTAGTTATCAATTAAACTGGGCGAGAGTTGGCTCATTCAATCATTCTAGTCAAATCAGTTAACGGAAAACAAGTTTAAATGGCTGGCGACGCTGGCAGCATCCCTGAACTGGACCAAAAGAAGTACGATTCAGGCGAGCAGGTGAAGATCATCTGCCTGGGAGACAGCGCAGTCGGTAAATCTAAGTGAGTATGAGCTGCTGTAAGCTTAGGCTCCTGGAAGCCGTGTTGTGTAAAAGCTTTCCTTTTTCCGGTAACCGTTCATTATGTTAACATATTGTTTGTTGCGTTCTCTCTTTCTCTACTCTACTCTCTCTCCTCTTCTCTCATCTCTCCTCTCTCTCTCTATGCTCTCTCTCTGTCGTCTCGCTCTCTCTCATCTCTCTCTCTCTCTCTTCTCTCATCTCTCTCTCTCTCATGCGTTCTCTCTCTCTCTCTCTCTCTCTGCTCTGCATCGTCATCTCTCTCTCTCCTTCTCCTCTCTCAGGCTGATGGAGAGATTTCTCATGGACGAATAGTATCCTTTTGCAGTTTCTGAAATGAAACATATCTGTGTCAGTCATTCGTATTCGTCCTGCCATGGGCATTGCATAAACGTTAAAGGTCACCTAATATTCTTTTTCAACAATATATTACAGGTCTCAGATTGTATCATGCCATATACCCCTCTGTTTAAAAAGTGTGGATTCCGTTTGTGTAGCTTTAAATGCAAATGGTTGGTTTAAAAACAAGCTGGCATGCCTACAATAAGCAGATATTTTTTCCCCAGAGAGCTCCTTAACTATTTCTACAGTCGTCCCCAGCAGTTGTCAACCTATGCTTTGACTCTCTACAAACACACAGCCACTGTAGGAAATAAGACAGTAGCCATTGGTATGTATTTAGAAATGATTCTGTTCTGCTCTCTGTGACCACAGGAAATACATTCACCAATTTGAAAATCAACTGTCAAGTTAAAATCAACAGGATTTGGTGATTTTTGTTTTTGATTCACAGATTTCTGGGACACCGCTGGTCAGGAGCGATTTCAGAGCATGCACCCCTCGTACTACCACAAAGCACATGCATGCATAATGGTAAAACACACGCTTAGTGTCCGGTGCTTTTCAATATTCATCTAGCCTGCATTTTAGGGGAGGTAGAATATCAAGTAACTATTAAACGAATTCAGAAAAGTGACAAATACATAATATGGCCCTCTAATTTGGCCCTCACAACACTGTAACATGTTGCATTCTTGTTAAGTTCCACCTCTTAAGATGCAGATGGTGTTTCCCTCGGATAAGTCAACGAGGACTTGTTAGATGATTGCTGCAATGCAACTGTCTCTGTCTTCAAAGATGCACTCCTTTGTTAACCTGTCTTCTTTCTCTTAGGTTTTTGATGTTCAAAGGAAGATCACTTATAAGAATCTGGCCAACTGGTATAAGGAGCTGAGAGAGTTCAGACCGGAGATACCCTGTTGTGTGGTGGCTAACAAAATTGATGGTAAGTCTGGTACTGACACACATCACAAAGACCAACACACTTCTACTGTAAGTTTAATATGGATAGTTACCTTAAAAAAAAACCCACTTAAAAACCTCCAATCTTCTCCTTTAATGTAATTAGGATAAATAAATATGTCTTTATTAGTTTGCACACTTTGTCTACATTACTTTATCCTTTGATTACACATTCAATTTACAATTATAGTTGTGAACATGTGTGTTTTTTTGTATTTTCAGCGGATTTGAAGGTGACACAGAGAAGCTTTAACTTTGGGAAGAAGCAAGGAATCCCATTTTACTTTGTATCTGCGGCTGATGGGACAAATGTAGTTAAGGTTTGCACTTCTTATTCTCTTCCAGTGTTCATGTCAGTCATCCCCAGGGTCATTTTGTAATGCATTTCAATCACATCAGCAGTTTTACAGTTAACTGTTTGTCTTGATACCACACCTTTTATGAATTGACAATACAGTTGAACCCATTTGTGTTATTTTTTCTGACTGTAACTGCCCCAACAGATGTTCAGAGAGATGATCACGAGAGCAGTGGAGTACAAGCAAAACCCCAGTGACTTCATGGATGAAGTGTTGCAGGAATTAGAGGTACATCCCTCTAAATAAAAAAAAGAGTAGTTTTATAAATACCTAACTGAAAGATGTAAATTGCAAGAATTGACAATGCAGTGTGCTCTAAAAAAACAAACATTAGTGTAAAATCTGCTGTTTTAATTCTCACATGTTCTTATTCCTAACCTATTTGTGAGCTCCAACAAAACTAACTTTTTTTAACTACTTTTTCGTTTGTCTGAAAACACTTTCATATTGATGTCATTTGCTGCACTTTTCTTATAGAACTTTGACCTGGAGGAGAAGGAAGATCCCGAAGCAGATGAGGTTGGATTGAAAACAGAAAGTCCTGAGTTGGAGTGACCAACGTTTACAAATCCTCATAAACCTCTACTGGCACATTGTTTGTCCTTTGTCCTTTCGTTGTCTACTTTGATACCTATGTTTTCTAACTCCATCACTGGAGGTTGGAGTTTTCAGTCAGGTTTTCAGTCACTGCTCCATCTGTCCAGTGACATTGGCAGGGAAATAAACCTGGTGGAATAATTAGGAATTGTGTTGTTTACCAAGTTTATTCAGCTGCTGTTTTAAACTTCTCATTCATACTTTGTATCTACTACAATACTAATGAACAATTCTACAATGAGGCTGAATGTATTTTAATTTGTAATAAGAATGTGAAGCATTGGAAACTGTCTCACAGATCAAAGAGAGCGTGTGATTATGATTCAGATGTGCTGCTGTTCTCGATGTGTGTGTGTGTGTTTCGTTGTGTGCAGTGCCAGCAGTGAGCAGCCTCAGGTGGCTGCTTTTGTTGCATTAGTTTTAGGATGTAAAGTCTGTTTTCACTACACTTTTAAATGAAAACTTAATGTACCATGTAACCCAATTGTTATCATGTGTCTCTTTCTGACTTGCTGTGGTCCAGAAGTGGGCATTAAGTCGTGAATTTCAGCATATTATAAAATGCAACAGCCAGCATTCATCTCTCGTGAAATGCTCAGCCAGCTGTGTCGTTTCTGATGGATTTGTGAAGGCTGTGTTTACACTCATTCATATTAGCAGGAATGTTACCACAAAGAACATAAAACAAATTTTTTCTTGCAGAATCTGACCCTCAATGTGTTATTATTTCTATATGCTGTACAAAGGAATCATGTCTATACATTTTGTATTGATATTTGACTGTGGCATAATAAATCACACTGTCGTATACTTGTGGCCTACTACAACGACACTGAATTAAGCAGGAACAAAACATTTGATGCAGTTCATGTTTTAATTATAAATGTATTACATAATATAACAAACATATATCTCTGTGGTGGAGATATCCTGGGCAACATCTCAGATCTTGCCTCAACCTTCACTATCATCCTTATCTGTTTGGATGAGGAACACTAGGTAGCTTCTGGTTCACTTTTATTTCGCTTTCAGGTATTAAAATGGAGAGGGGATTTCTAATGCTTAGAAGTGTCTGGAGGTCGCTCGGAGAAATGTTTGCCTGCTCATCGGACGCTGAAAGGGGAAGTTCACCTGTGAGACAAGGCTGAGGCGTTGCAGTGATACATCCACCATTCTAAACTTCACAGTGCAAACAAGGAGAAAACCAACAATGAAAGAAAAACCCCTCTGACGATAAGATCACTGGTTCCAGCGGGTGACCGGACCCCAGTGTGTTTTTTGAAAGGTTACACTGCTCCCCCTACACTATTTAGATTGTGCTTTGTTGATTAGAAAACAAGACAAAGATAACCTTTCACTGAACTTATTTCACCTTTTCATGTGTAAGTCTGTTACACGTTGCATTTGCGGTGCACTTCCACTACCATCTGACCGGGTCTTCATTACAGTTTCGTATGACCAGGCCAGCTTGTGTGCGTTCAGACTGTACACATTCACCTTTCAAGTGTTTCTCTTTATATGGGAACAGTACGGCAAACTGGATAATAAGCTCCGTCACAGTAAAATCATTTGTGATACTTTGTCTCAAAATGTAAATAGAAATGTTAATGCAAAGCTCACAGGTAGATATACACAGGCTATTATATATATGTATGTATATTAATATAAACAATATAGCCTGCTTCTTTACAAAATAATAACAGTGACTGTATTTCCACCTGTACTAAATACAGAAGGAGCTAGTAGTAGTTCTGTAGTTCTCAAGATTTCCAGGAGATGGCACCATATTATTGAGTCTAACAGCTCAAGAATGCTGTAACTATAGATAGTCCTAAAGCAAAGACAAATATACAGTTGAAAGTTATTTTTTGGCACATTTTTCCTTTGTGTTTGTTCCTCACTGGATCACCTCATATCCAAAACTCAGAAACTGAAGGTCTGAAAAAGGAAAAAGGAGTGCTGCCGGACAGAGTGGAGGGTAAGGAGCGCAGACGCCATCTGGGAAGGGGTGTACGAAACAGTGACACTGCATAAACTGTACCTACAGTCACAGGGGGACTTAAAGTCGTCTTGCAATACAAAATGTCTCGATGGTTTCCTTCCAAACCCTGCGGTAATCTGTCCGTCTGTCTGCCTGTCCCTATTGGCAGAGCAGTCCACTTTCTGAAGACTTCACTCAGTACAACACAAGAATGCAGAACAATGAGGGTCAATCTGTAGAAGATGTGTGTATTTCTATATGTGTGTGTTGTTTATGTGCGTGTTTGTGTGACACAGCCACTGCCGGGAATCTCTGATGGTTATACAGTAAGGCTAAAGTGGACTAGCTCCAAAGATGTAAACCCTAACAATCATCCGTACACTCTCACTGTCACAGGCATCATCGTCTCTCTCAAACAAATTCACACACAAATGGAAACAAACATTCACACACACAGTCGTACACACAAGGTGGAGAGGAACAACCACACAGAGTTTCAGGGAATCCAGATGCACGCATGCACTTGGACGATGGGTGGCTTTTATGTTAGCACCTTGTCACCTTGTTTTGTGCAAATCATCCCCTAGTTCATAGTTCAGAGTTCAAAAGTTTTAAGAGTTCATAGAAAGAATAAAATCTGCTCACCCTTTCCACAGGTGGTTAACTATGCATATATGCCAAACATTCATATATAGATCTATATACTTTTGTTTTTCAAAAATTTATATGAAATCTATCATATATACATTGCTTGTGAGTTAAAAAAAAGACATCTTTTGTTCATTTTTACAAGTGTAGCCTAAGTATGTTTAGAATGGACAGGATATTCGTTTTTTCTGTCTTTTTTCTGTCACTCTAAAATTCTAATGAGTGAAAGATTAAAGTATCATGTTCCATACGCTACAAAATCTACCCAGTGTCCGAGGGTAACAAATCATCAAAGAAAGAAAAATAAATTAGAAAAATAACAATTAACACAAAAAGTCCAAATGAGTCAGAGGACATAGCGTAACACCGGAGTACAAATAATCAGTGAGGTCACAGTGAGGCAGTGAGTGCTATTCCTACAACCCAGGTACAACATTATATTCACCACCCGTATTACAAACTGATAAACAGCAGGAAATGAAAGAGATAAAAGAAGAAAAAAGATGCACACGACTTCTTGCCAAGTGAAAGTGCCTTGGCGCGCTGACTGGATGCTGCTGATGCACGGAGGTCTCTCACCTGGCCGCCTAAAGCTATGGATAAAATGCTTTTTGTTGCGTGAATAAAACTCACTGTTTCTCACTGCCAGCAGAAGCTACAATGAGTACAATTGTAGATTTTGTATTGTTAAAGAAAAATTCATTGGACTTTTTTACAACCTGGGTCTTATTTGTAGAGTTGTTGCTGCCACGGTTTATGATAATACTTTACTCACTTGCAGAGATAGAGGAAAGCAGCAATGTTGCAAGACAAGTCAGGTTGTAAAATGCTGAATTTTCTTTAAGACCTTACAGAGGCATCCCCATCCACACAGCCTGATAAACTACATGCACATTCCTGCACTGGCATTTCAGAAGGTCACACACATGTCTAGCTCATTAAGCCACACGTTGTTAGTTATATTCCAGGTAACAGTTGGTTTTAAGTAAGAGATTACCTTTATTTTAACACTTAAAGCTCAATTTGGCCAGGTTCACACACTTGGTTTTCTGGTAGTTTCCTTCTTAAAATCTGAAAGAGATTTCCTCTCTTCTGGTGATGAGAAACATCCCAGAGTTTCCTTCCTCCACGACTGTATAGTAGACCATGTGCAGCCTGCTCTGAAGGCATCATCAGGGGTCACAGGGATGGAAATTTTAACGCAGCCTAACATTTTTCAGACTGTGGTGGTGTTAAATTGTCCTCACAGGTAGAATTAAATGGGTATTATTAAAACAACAGCTGACAATCTCTCCATGCTAGTGCCCCAAACTTCCATCCCTGAGTGATAAACGGGCAAAACATGAAGAGCCCCTTTTACCAGTTAGCTGTCTCATAAGATGGTCCAAAGCAGGATCTGAATAAGCTCAGTGGGGTCTGTAGTTGAAGCCGTAGGGATGGGTGGCCCCTGGGGGTCTCAGCCTCACATTACAGGATGCCCTTTAGTATGAAGGAAGACCGTAAGAAAATAAAAACAAACATCAAACTCTCTGTCCAAGACATGATGCAACTCGTCATGCTACAGTTCAATAAAGGGTGACCATAAGGAAAGTTGTATACCTATGACAAAAAATTAATTTCCATATCTATATACTTTTTTTAAAATTTCAAATATATATTTTTATATTTATATATATGTATATAATTGGTAGAAATGAGTAAGCTACCGGTGGAATACGTTTTAAGGTTTCTCGCTGCCTTCTATACTAAAAAACAAAAACAGGCGCAGATTAATTTATTACATTACCTCTTTGCAACATTGTCTTTTCTTTTGAAAGCTATATTTAGATACATATATATCATATTATATAATACCTATATATATATTTATATAATATTCCCTTTGGAAAACCAAAAAATTGATTATGAAAAAAGCCACGAGTGTTGGTTAAACATTCTCCAAATATAATAGATAACACAGTACCAAGGCGGAGGGGTACGGGAGGGTGTTCTCCCGTGGTTTACTGGGTGGAGCTCCACCTCTGGGCTCCAAAGTCTTCGGTTTAAAAACAACAGTAGGTGTAGAGAAGACGCACCGTTTCATGTCCATAGTCCTTTGTTCATCATTGTTGATCTCTGTATAAATATTTTGAAAGGCAACTGAGCTTTCTGTTGGGAACACAATTCTTCCTCCTCTTTTACTCAAACTGCAGACGTCTGTCAGAGGCCTAATAGATAGAGGTAGAGAAGGGAATGGTGAGAGAAAGTGTGGGTGTTACTGAGGGACCAACTGAAGCTTTCACAAATCAAATGTTTTAATTGGAGCTCATGCGATTCTCCTCGGCAAAAAGAAAGTCCAGAGTTTGTTTTGAGGTCTGATCTAATTAAGAGGCGGGCAGACACTATGGCAAGTAGAGGGTGACGAATGACTCCTCCTCTTCAGTGCAGTGCCAAGTGCAGGGTGTTAATGCAGACAGGAACATAACGGTGTCGCTAAGGTAAACATTTGTGATGCAGAACATAAAAGCAGCCAGAATAAAAGAGGAGTGATCCCTATCTTTTCTCTTTCATCAACTCTATCCGTTCTATCTCTCTCCCCATCTGTTGCAGGGTCTCAGGGCAGGGGTCAGCTCTCCAGCAGCATCTTTAGCGCCCGTTCGATGTTCATGCGGTGTCCCACTCTCGTCACTCCCAGCTCTGCAAAGTCATCCTTGGTCAGAGCTGGGAGGTGAGAGCCTTCGATCTCGTGTTCCTGAAACCCTGCTCTGTGCTCCCCCAGATTGATGCTCTCCAGCCAGTCTCCAACGTCATACTTATTCCAGAGGTGGAGGGGTTTCTGGTGAAAGGGCCGGAGGGCTAAAAGTGGTGACCCTAGCCCGGGAGAATTGGAGGGGGATGGGGACGGAGAGCGAGAGCGGGAATGGGAATGGGCGCTGGAGCTCCTCATCACAAAGCGGACCTCTTTAGGCTCCTGGGGTAAGCTGAGGCTGGAGGATTTGAGGATGGTTTGTGGGGGTGTAGTCGGTGAGGTCGGTAGGCCGAAGCCTGAGTATCGTCCGAATGGGTCACCCCGATCAGGGGAGCCTGAACCGGGGCTGCGTCGGGTGACAGGGTAACGGCTGCCAGGGCGGATGGTGAAGGTGGTGCCATAACTTCTCTGAGAAATGGTGTGGAGCTCGCCTAGGCTGCTGAAAAGTCTGGAGACAGACAGACACAGGGTGTAAGGATGTTAAGAGGAGATAAAAAGGAGACATAGCTTTGGTTATATGTATTAACCGCTGTAAGTTCCTCTAAAGTATAAGTTAGTGTAAGCTTCAGGACTGTTAGACAAACCAAGCTAGTCTCACAGCACAGCATTATAAAGCAGCACACTGCTCTCATTGGTAATGAGAACATTCACAGCATTGAAAAAAATATCTATTTACTACTCAATCGTAAAGAAGTCACAAAGGACCTTTATGCCAAGTTATATATTCATTTTATATGGGAATATATGGCATCTATTAAGAAAAAAGATGGCACTATATTTTCCCTCTCTACATCGTCCATCTGACCGCTACTGCAAGCCTTTTTGCTTGAACGTAATCAAAAGGTGTTTCCTGTTAAGGCAGACAATATGCTTCTCTGAAGGAATCACTGTGACCCACAAGCAGAAAGATGCTTAGTTAGATTACAGTATAACACAGATTTAGTGTTTTACGTGGAAACTGCAGAAGGCACTAACCTGAAGCACTGGAATTAGGAGCACACACACACACGCACAAACAGACACATACACACGCCTACATTTGAACAAAGTTGGCAGTTGCACATTACAAACAGTACATTTGCTTTTTTTAAACTTTCATGAGACAAAGTTGTTAAAGCAAACAGAGCTGATGTGTCACATCTGTTAAAGGACACGTGAATGTACACAAAGCAGCACATTTTCCCAAAGCTTAGCATTGTTTAATGCAACACATACTTATTAACTCTGACTGCAGCGACACTTCATTCAATGCCATTAGTCAAACATTTCGGGGAATCTCCACGATCCACCAAACCAGTCTTATCCATACCATCCATTCTGAAACAACAGCATCTTGCACAAGAACAATAAATGCTTGTTTATGTACCTTTTACCCCTGACCCTCTTCTGAAGAAATAATAGTATAAAGATGTGAAACAGTGTCATAGTGGCTGATTAGTATACTACAGGTCTAATGGAGGAAAATATGGTCAGTAAGGAGAAGAGGGGTGGATGAAGGCCAATGTGAACGTTGTGTCTGGCTTGGTGCAAGCAGGGAGAAGCAGAAAGAAGAGGCCTACATGTGTAAGAGTTGGTGCAATGATGTGTGTTTGATGCATGCATGTTAGCGAGTGTCTTATGTACAGGTGTGGCCAATGATTTCCCTCCATTGCATGTGTTTGGAAACTTTGATGTGGACTAAAGAGTGTAATGGAAGGTAGCTAGACAGCGCAAGGGCTGGAAAAATGATCAGACTACAGGTAGCCGACGGATATGCGATGAGCTCCATGCGCACTTACACAGTCGTCCCGCCCTCCTGGGCGCACAGTCAGTTCTAGACCAATCAGATCAGAGCAGCAGGGCGGAGCATGCAAGGTGAGCAGAGAGAGAGCAATGGGAGAGAATGTTAGCATCACTCCATGAGACGCAGCCTGCCAACCAGACGTTTAGTCTGCTTCAGCCCACTCTGCTTTCTTTCACACGCCCTGTGTGCATGTGGCTGTATGAGTGTTGCAGTGAATACATGTATGTGTGTGTGCATGTGATGGTGTTATTGATGTATGAGCATGACAAAGACAGCAGAGTAGGCTTCTGCACTGAGAGGTCTGACCAGTGGGCTGCATGAGAGAGAAATGAGCACACTATTCACATTGCACAAAAAAAGGAAAACAAACCAACAAATAAAAGGCCGGCACATGTTCCTTGACTTTTGTTGTTACTTGATGTAGTCCACATATTTTAACAATTACAAAAACACACATAAATACATGTGTTGTGCAATTTCTACTTACATGTGAGTTTTTAAGGGTTTTGGGATATAAATCAAGGAATGCAAATCACAAATAAAATGGTATATGTATTCTATTCTGTTTTACTTTGAAAAACCTACAATGTCCAAAAGCAAGACATTCAGGGACCATGGCCATCCTCAACACAATCACTGAAACACAAAACAAAGTTATGCAAATTACATTAACAGAGAAGAACAGAAAACCAAAGATCACAAATGAAATAAAATGAGAACCACAGGTTTCTAAACCACCCAATGATGATACACAGCATGTGAACGAGGTGGATACAACAGAGACACAATACAGCAGCATGGGGGGGGTTTGAAGGGGTTTAAATGGGCACAAAGTGGTTTGGGTAAGTGATGGAGTAATATTACATAACAGTGCTGGGGGGTGAGGGGAACAAACTCAGAGTGAGACAGAGAGAGAAATAGAGAGAGAAATAATGGTGTGCATGATCATCTCTGTCTAAGGCAATCAGCTGTGGTGCCGATGTGGTGGGGATAAATGTGATTGCATAATCTCACGGGAGGATACGCCAAGTCATTGTTGAGTCACATGATGCGCTGTATTTGATATCCCGGTCACCTGTTCCTTCCAGGGATCATGATGTTTTAATTTAGAGGTACTGTCAACTTATTTGACAAAAGACTACTATTACTAGTAATAGTAATATAGTGGTAAGGGAGGGTAAAACTGATGGTCTGAATACAGGACAAATACTCCCAGCCCTATACTCATCAATTATCAAAAGTACCTCCTTTGTTGTAGCCATGTCACAAATTCAGTTGACAGCTTGATATGAAGCACTTCATTTCAGTTTGTGGAAAGTTAGACAGCTCCTTAGAACAATGGTAACACGAGGAGAAGGCTGCAAAAGAGTTTTAACATCTTCAAATATATATTTTTTTCTAAAACTGGAGTGAAGAAAAAGTGAACATGAGAGAAATATTTTCGACCCTCCTAATTTATATGAACTGGAATAAGGACAAACGATGAAAGGAAAGGAGCAGGGCTGGAAAAAATGCACTGCATCTGGAGAGTGCCTACAAACTCCTGAGACATTTGAAAGCTGCGATGCTCAATCAAAATGTAGCCAAATCCTGAACAGAACAAAAGAGACGTGCATCTGACAGTTACTCCCTGTGGTACCTATGAACTTTTCAGGACATTGTTGGGTAGTCGTCACAACAATAACACGGCTGTTAATGCCATGACGGGATCATGACGGGACGGTTACACTGTGACACACCATTATAGTTCAGTCTTGGTCAAATACTTCTGAAAATACATCCTTAAGTCTTTGAGGTTATCACTGATGTTACTGGATGAGGGGCTGATGATAAGAAGGACACTTTATTTCTTAATCTTATCAAAAGTATATCAGTGATATATATATAAGGATGTATTATGTATGTTTTGATCAAGGACTCTGGGAAAAGCTTGAGGAATAGCAGGAAGGGTAGCTACTAGCAGGTGCGAAGGTTAGAACCCAACAGAGGTTACTATACTATATACTATATACTTACTGACTACTGTTTGTATTTAACAGACGAGATCATTTATCAGAAGGCCAAGGAGTAAAACTGTAACTATAGAAACAAGAAGCAATTTAGACCCAAAGGCGAGGCATCGATTGTAGTAATGAAGATCTCTAGAACCAATGCCTTGGAAAAACAGAACTATATCCAAATCTTTTATATTCCTAGTATAAAGATGTATAAATGTAGGTGATGCAAACAAGGTAACAAAATATAAAAAACAAAATACATACAATAAAAGGAGTACGAGGCTTGTTATCTTAAATGGGATTAGTTGATAGGCTTGCTAGGAACAAATATAAAAAAGCTCAAGTTTACCCTAGTAGCTATAACCTTAAGGTTTACTCTCTTCGGTGTCCTCACATCTGCAGGAATATACAGGTCTTAATTGTACCTTCAGGTATGGTGTGAAAACAGGAAACCCACAGATAACAGACACAAACAGCACTGTGCTTCAGATGCTTCAAAGACCTAATCTAGTGTCACTGTGTGAGAAGCACGTTTGTATATGCCTCTTTACTATGCTTTATATTTGCTTTGAATTGATATTAGAACAGCATGTATGACCCATAGAAAGGTACAGCACACACTGTATTAATAACTTTTTTACATTAACAGTTTAAGGGTAGCTAATGCCAGCAATGCTGGTGACCTCTGATCTCATGTCAACATCCTATAGCAGTGGACTGGTCTTTATATGGATAGTTTGCATGTTTCAAATTGTAAGTAAGACCCTATTATGCCTACAAATAGAACAGCCACTGTCTTTAACTCAGCCTCTAGGTGTCCCTTTTTACAGAGAAATGCAATCAGACTTAAGCCAAAACTAGACGACCAAGAGTAGTTGTCCATAAAGTATATTTTCTCTAAATAAATGTTGATAAACAGGAGAAAATAATATAAACTCAGTGTGTGCCATGTAGACTATTTAATATGATTTAGACTCATTTACGGTAATAATTCAAATCATGCTGGGCAGGGGAATTGCTTGAGATTGCTCACTCTCTCTGTCTCTGCCACCACGATAAACAATATAAATACCATTGCTTTAAAAGGAACCATTTGTTTTGTGGCTCAGTGTGAAATTCAGTCATTTTTGCAGTACATTTGACACATTTCTCTCTTACCTGGCACCTGCCACAGGTGACTTTCTCCCCGGGTCAAGTGATGCTCCCAGCGGCTCCTCTCCCAGTGACCTAGTGTCTTTATTTAGCTGCTGTAGCCGTGAACTGAGCTCTCCCATAACAGAAGGTTTTGCTCCATCATCTCCACCGAGTCCCAATCCCAGCCCGCCTAGATTTCCCAAACTCCCAATACCTAGCCCCACCCCTGGCCCACGAGGCTCCACTGGGTCCCCCCACAGCTTGGACCTCCGCTGGAAGAGGTAGCGCGGCTTGGTGGGGCCGAGTCCTGTCACTGAGGCCGAGCCGCCGAAGGGCAGCCCAGCTCCGCCTGCAGCAGCAGCAGCCAGGGCAGCAACCTGTTGTTGTGAGAGCAGCTCGCTGTCGGAGCTCTGCTTCAGTAGAGGGTCCCTGAAGGTGACGGGGCCTTTACTGCCTCCTATCTGGGACCTGAGTCGGGGCTTAGGAGGCACTGGCGGCTTGTCGAGCACAAAAGTCAGCCCTTCGGCGTAGGAGGTGTGCGTGGTGTGTGTGTCTGCAGGCTCGCCGCTCTCTGAGGACAGGGTGGACATGCTGGAAACTGTGGAGACGGTGCTGGTGGTCTCGAGATGGTGGTCTCGCTCTCTGTCACTGGAGCTGCGCGTGTCGGCCTCCTCCACACCTGAGTCAGCCGCAGAGCTGGACTCACCCACCGGTGGGGGCTCCAGAGGGTCAGAGGGCTTCCCTGAGACAGCTGCTGCACTGGGTGGAGGTGCCAGCTGGGGAGGCTGAGGCTGGGTGGGCATCACAGTTGGAGTTTTTGGGGATGACGGAGTTTGGGGCGTTGGTGTTGTAGGGGTGGTGGGAGAGGAGGCAGGTAGAGTTGGCGTCCCCTGTGCCTGCATGCCATTAGCGAACTCATCGGGTGGTGGAAGAACTCCAATGTGACGAAGCTCTTCTCTTGTTTCCTCATCGCTGGAGGACAACATTGCAGGAGGCAGGGTCACGGTGTAGGGGTCCACGTCCTCCTCGGAGCTGCCCTGAGCCAGACTCTTGTCCTGCGCTGGACTGGCGGGACGCTGAGTGTGAGGCTGGGCCTGGAGCTGGGCCTGGGGCTGCGAGGCAGAGGGGCTGGGGGATTTAGCCCTTGGACTTAGAGACTTGCTGGGCTCTGTGGACGTGGGGGCAGGTGTCTGTTCTAGGTGTGGATCTACCCCGACTGACTGGCCGTTACTGGTAGCATGGACCATAATAAGCCCTGCTGTTTTCTGCTGTGACGTGTCCATAATACTGATCAACATACTATTTTTATCCTCAAGTCTCTTCTCCTCCTTCCTCTCCTCTACTCTGGCCTCCATCTCCTGCCGGAAAGATACCGGTGACTGTGATGTGACCCACTGTGGTTTGGTGGGCTGGGGAACTAAAATAGATGTCGGGGAGGAAACAACTCCATACCCCCCTGCCTTGGCGCTTTTAGGTGAAAAAGGGGGAGTTGTGGTAGCCCCTTCCCCATGTGGAGACTCTTTGGTCTGAGGGTCCATGAACAACACGCCATGGCCTGCTCGATCCTGTTTAGTCCTCGGCTCAGGGCTGCCCGTCGGGCTCTGGGAGGTCAGTGCTCTCTCCCTTGCGGCCAGCGCAAGAGCCAGTGGAGAGTTAGGGTCCAGGGGTTTTCCTGTGAGCGGATGGATAAAGGTGGTCCCACTAGGTGAGGGGCTCAGAGCCAAGGCAGGGGGAGGCAGCTGTCCCAGCTCTCGGGTGAGCATCCGTTCATCGATGGAGTGAGACTGAGTCAGAGAGGGGGAGTCAGAGCTGGCTAAGGAAGCCCCCTCCATAGTCCCAACGGAAAGGAAGACAGTGGATTTTCTCCGTTCTTCTAGACGACGCTCACGATCTTTCACTGCTCCAGCTATAGCAGCGGCGAAGGGACCCTTCCCCTGAAACATCATCTCTCCCTGGGCACGCAGACGCTCTCGCTCAGCCTTCAGCTGCTGCTGGTAGTAGTCTGCACGGCTGGTGTGTGTGTGTCCATGGGTGTGTGAGTGTCGTCCTGAGGGAGAGCTTTCTCGGGAGTGGGCAGCAGCTAAGGCCAAACTGGCTTTTTCTTGTGCATCTTCCACCTGCAGTAAGGCAAAATAAAAAAACAGCATGTTAGAAAGTCTTCGTAACTAATGTATACAACTAGCAGATGACCATCCTGGAAATGTCACCTACCTGTAGCTGTTTCACCAGTGGACTTTTCTTCCTCTGGGGCTTGGTGGGTGTGAACAGTCCAATACTAAATTGACCCACATTGGCATAAGGGTTGTCAATAACCCGACCCTTCCTTTTGATTCGCTCCGGTGGAATAGCAGCAGAAGGACGGGGGATTTCTGTCGGTTCTACAGGTAGATGTGAAGAGTCCTGAAGGATGATCATGGAGCGCGCTTTCTTCTGTCTCTCTAAGTGTGTGGCCTGTCGCTGAGCGGCCTCGTACGGCAGATCCAAAGATGAAGGCTTGAAGCTGGAGCGTCCTCCAGGCTCATGGCCCTGACTGTGGGTCCTAGATGGGGGAGGAGGGGGACAAAAGGCTGGAGGAGGACCAGTGTCCAGGTAATAGGGAGGAGGAGGAGGTGCAGTTTGTGGAGGTGGAGGGATGGGATGGGGCTGAGAGTGTTCTCGGAGGCTGTCTGTCATAGAGGAACTGCGGGGAAACCTGTGTTCGGCTGCAAGGACCGACAGCCGATCCTCCTCAGTGGCACCTGGTGAGGGAGAGGAGAGCACAGATCTTCTCAGGAAATACGACCATTTTAAACTAACCTAGCAGGTCCACAGCTGCTTCCTGACAAATTCACTGCATTGCATCCATCTGAAAATATGTTCTCACATATTTATAATGTATTCGTTGTCTCAAAGACAGCTATACAATATAGGGTTCAACTCCCAGAACAGACTTAGTGTGGAGTGTAGGCTGAAACACAGACATCTGTAGACAAAATGGAGCATATTTATTTTTTCAGAGATGAGAAGAAGAGCCCTCCCTAATATGTAAAACGTATAACTTACTATTTTTTATTTATTTGGCAATTAACTAATTGAATAGTCCTTCAATGAATGTAGGCTACTAGAGAACAGGGAACATTTTTAAATAATAAATAACGTATTGCACTTGAAAATCTGCTCTGCAAATGTGTGTCTGTGAATATCTAAGCACATTCTGAACATGCAATGCAATGTAATTCAATTCAATTCAAAACCTTTATTTATCCAGGTAAAATCCCATTGAGATCAATGATCTCTTTTTCAAGGGAGACCTGCAATTAAGTATTTGCAACCATGTTAGCATTTGTTAAGCTAAATTAAAACTGCCTACATGCTTTTCTTTCTGGGTGAAGTATGCAATTTGATGGGAAAATAAATCTTCCCTATCTTATATCCTTTATGCCAATTAAAACCTGTAAGCATACTGCACATAAGATGCACTATCATTCACCTTATTTGAATATGTACAGGATGGGTGATTGTTTTACCAAAAGACTTGGTCCTGGACATCCCCTTGGGTAGCGGTATGTGACCTCTCTCAATGCCGGGGTGCAGACCTCCATGTAGAGTCATCCCTTGTCTCTCAAACAGTGACTGCAGTTAAGAAACATATATTTAATGCCTCTAAAAGGCTGTGTAGCACATTTGTTTTTGATTAAATTATACATGAGCCTTAATTCATATGTATGCCAACATTGTGGCATATGCTGTCTGCCAGTGTGCTTTGTGTAGGTGCACTCACACTGATCTCTGCTGGTGTAATTCTCCTGCTGGTAGGCCTTTGTTTGACAGTAGCTGCTCTGTAATCTGCCTCTGAGGGCTGAGAACGCAAGATAGACTCCTGTGATGCCAACATCTCATCTAGTCTCTCTGTTGAGAAGCAAATGAGGCAGAACTAAATGCTGAGACATAAGACTGTGGAAATATTGTGTCATCAATTCTGACATTGCAAACACAGTAGAGAATACAAAGTGTGATTAAAAAGGCATCTCCAAAATGTTGCTATGAACTACAAAGTGAGGTCATGCTCCATGTCTATGGTATTAAATCACTGCTCCATCCCAAATTAAAAGTTCACTGTGTTACACCACTAGGGAGTGAGTTCTACGAATTAAAAGAGATAGAGAAAGAGGAAATCAGAAAAGAAGGGGAGAAAGAGAGTCCACATATTGCAAGTGTTCTGTTCTTCAGCTCTAAATCAATGCTGTAATTGACACAGCAGTGAGGAATTATCTTTATGACTTTCAGAGAGGTGTCAATTCAGACTCACCTCCTCTTCTCCTCCGAGCAGAAGCTTGGTGGGAAAAAGATAGCGTCAGCAGAGGAGGGAAAGAACAAGCCAACACAAGTGACTATTCAAAAAGTCAGGAGACACACCGAGCTTATTAACAAAAGGGAAAGCAGAAATGTGACAGAAAAAGGAAGTCTAGGGTCTGGAGTTGGCATGCCAGCTTTCTCACCCAGTTCTTCCAGCTCAGCGGTCATGGACTTAGAGCGCAGCGTCAGGGTGGTGCTGGGGGCTCTCTTGGGTGGCGGGGGAGCTGTGGAGAAAAGGCATGGTGTTGAGGATGAAGTTGAAGGGGAAGAAGATCCTTTGGATTTGCGGCTCAGTGCCCTCCTGGCATCTCCCAGACGGCTAGCCCATCCCATCTTCACTGATTTGATCTGGTTAAATTCAGATGAACTGGACGGCCCCCATTTAACGACGACCTTGTTCGGGTTACATTTGGATCCCGACTTCTTCATGCTTTACTCTCTGTTGATCCGATGGCTTATGAATTTTTCAGTCTGTCTCCAAGACTTTCAGTATTCTAGTCTTTGTGCTGCAAGAATCCCTCTCTGTTGGGGAGCCCAGAGGCAGTACATGTACAACTGAGTCCAGTCTGAAACAGCCCTAGCTTTCTGAATCCTCCCATTAGAAAGAGAACAACAGAGTATGTACGCCACAATAGGCAGAAAGAGTAAAATAAGTGTGGCAAGGGGAGGGAGAAAGTCGTCCATCTTACTTTTAATATGCTGCCTGTCTGAAATGTTGCAGGAGAGTATCAGACAGAAACGCGAAGACACACACATGCATATCCTCCCACACGCGGGACCACTTGCAGATACACTGAGAAAACTCCCTGAGGGAGGACATGATGACATGTGGGGAAGAGATTACAGTCAATTCAAAAGCTAAAGAAACTGATGCGCTGCAGTCTTTATACCCCAAATCCCATGGGAGCACCCGAAACCTTCTAAACTCATAAGGCGGCTGGGCTGGTATCGTCCCACTCAAAAAACATATCTAACAAACATCAGCTCCAAATACAACGGACAGAGTTACAGATTTCAATAAAAGGCTTTAAAATCAAGTTACAATGAACACTCTAATTAACCAAATCAAAAATAATGTGGTCATGTATTGAAGCATGTTAAATCTGCAGTAACAACGTAATGCCATGCAGTCGGACACAGATCATGAAGCCACACACAGCAGCAGCCTATACATGCTACAACAAACCCAAGTTTCCTGTCAACACCCCAGACAGAACTAGATCAGCTCACTCTATCCGAGATCGCCCAGCTCACACTTGCATGCACTACTGTGGAGCAAAAGATCTCTATATCCAAACGAATGCCTTGTGTCCCACTCGAGCCTAACTATCCTGCTGTCGTCAGCAGCTGCAGATCTAGTGAACATACGCCATCCTGGGTACAGTCCGTATCAAACATCTTCTTTCGTCACCAGTATGCACACTCTGGTACAGTAGCAGGGAGCAGAGGAGATGGAGGAGGACGGAGAAAGAGAAACAGAGTCAGAGGGAGAGAGAGATGCTTCTGCAGGAATGTAATGCTTAATTCAAACATGCAGTGTAGTCACCATGGCAACGGTGGCAGTAGTGAGGCCTCGCATGGTGCAGAGATTGTGTGTTTTGTATTGAGTGTTTGCCTGCGAGTTTCTGTGTGTGAGAGCATGCCTCTTGCATTTTTGCAAAAGTGCGGCACAATAGGCAGAGTCCCGATGGACAGCAATGCGGCTGGAGAGGGTGTTCATCAGAACTGCTTAGGATGATCAAATAAGAAATCTTTGAGGAAAAGTTTGAAAGAGGAGGGAAGGCTCTTGTTCTCCTCTCTGAAAGAATACATATGCTCCATTTTGTTCTATCTGTGTTTCAGCCTACAATACATACTGTACTAAGTCTGTTCTGGGAGTTGAACCCTCTGCCTGCAAGCCAAGTCCCTTTGGACTGAGTTACTGACGCCAATAATGCTAGTCCACATGAATGCATATTTTCATGTCATTCTAATAATCCACAAAGCCTGAATATTTTGCACGCAAAACAATGTATATGAAGATGATTGGCATTTTGGTAAATGTTTTCTTGCTTATGGTAAAATGAGAGAATCATTATTTATTTAGTTAAATTCAGAATAAGGACTGGAATAAAGTATAAAACAGTATGAAAATCTGGCTAAAAGCAGCTTTAAATCACATTTGTTAACATCATCGATTGTTCCATCCATACAAAAACCTGTAAAATGACAATTCTCCCATATATGTGGAAGATTATTTCATGGTCAGTAGTAGTAACTGAGAGTGAACACCCAGAGTCTCAGACGATTGACTGGTAACCTCTAAGCACCAAGAAATAGTTCGACACATAATTCCCAGTAAAACTACACAATTGTATACCTTGCACTTAGTCTGGATTAAACAAACAAGATATTTCCATAGTCTTTCAGGTAAAGCTCAGCTAACCAGATGCTTGCTGAAAAGCACTTTGAATGGCCTTGTGTTGAAAGGTGCTATATAAATAAACTTGCCTTGCCTTGCCGAAGCCTCATATCTAACAGACATACATTTGAGCTTGATTGTCTAATTGAGGCAAATTTCCCAAGATGTCCCAAAAACATTAAACTTTAATAAATAATGAAGACTGAGTGGATTCAATCTGCTGATGGAAAGACCGTGACATGCACTGGAAGCTCCAAAAACAGGCCCTAAGTGGACATGAGAGCGCAAAAGAAGGAAAGAGAGTTCCTTGATGTTTTTTTATCTGAATTACATACTTAAAGGTAGGGTAGGTAATTCTGGAGAAACCAGCTCGAGTGCGCTAGAATTTGAAAATACACAGCCGGAAAAAATCTGCCACTTCCTTACAGAGCCCCTCCTCCAACACACACGAACGCGCACATGACCAATGAGGGCACGAGATAAGTTTGTGCACAGATGGAAGGCTGACAGGCAGGTAGGCCATCCAGTTATTTTAGCCGGGCCGGCTCAGATGATTGGCTTCCACTGATGACATTTTTTTTAATGGATTTTTTGTCAAAGCACTTAAGATATTCATTGCACATCTACCTGTATGCACGCACGCACGCACGTATTCATCACTGAGTGCAGAATAAACGCGACTAGTTTTGCTCTACACACAGCACACTAACTCTGGTGACTCCTGTCATGTTGAGGGACACACACACACACCACACCACACACACACACACACACACACACACACCACACACACACACACACACACACACACACACCACACACACACACACACACACACACACACACACACACACACACACACACACACACACCACACACACACACACACACACACACACACACACACACACACACACACACACACACACACACACACACACACACACACACACACACACACACACACACACACACACACACACACACATCACACACACACACACACACACACACACACACACACACACACACACACACACACACACACACACACACACACACACACACACACACACACACACACACACGCTGTGGATGCAGTCCTGAGGTCACTTTGCCAGGGCTGTGTGGGAGCTGAGTAATGGCGAGCTATGGTTGACATGGTAACCACATGAATTTACAGCAGTGAATCGTTGCAGAAATCACCTTGACAACAGAAAACACACATATCTTCCCAAGTCACCCGTACATGAAAACAACTAACATAACATATCTACACTACGTTACAGTTATTAAGTTCATTATCATACTCAGTGATATGTTTAATAATATTTACAAAAAGCGAATTTGTGAAGCAGGAAATACATGCCTTTATGTGACATTTCACATGAAAGAACATGATAGATATTTAATTGACTATCTGTTTAATCTAAAGTGGATTCAACATAGAGGTCTTTACCTTTCTTGCGGACGACCTCCTCAGACTCAGGCTTGCGTGTGACGGACACCACCTTCATCAGCAGCCGGTTGCCCCCCTGCCGGATCAGGGACACCACCTGCTTATGGCCCACTTTAACTACATTCACCCCGTTCACCTAGGACGAAACGCACAAAGACAAGACATGCAAACACAAGTTTAACCTTTAAAGCATTAAAGTTTACTTTCACATGATAAAACGTTTCTGCAAATCATGCCTAGTCATTTCATTCAATAAGCACAGATAAATAGAAGCTTTCAGAGATGGAATACGTACTCAAAAGAAGCAGTACTGCATTCAGTCCAGTATTCAAAATTGTACTTAATTAAAAGTGAAAAAGTATAAGCATAACAAAAATACTTTGTGTATTTCAAGCACAATATAGTTTTAATTTGTTTTAAATTAATGTTATAAAAATTATTGGTGCATTAATGTGTCACTTCACTGTTAAACTTGGTAAAGGTGGGGTTTATTTGAATTACTTTATACATTACTTGGTGGCTTAAAGGTGGGGTGGGTAACTTTTATGGAGGACGGAACATGACATAAGTATAAATAAATAAATGTGTAAATAAATGTATGAAGAAATAAATAAATGACGAAATAAATACATAAATAAATAAATGTTGAAATAAATACACAAATAAATAAATAAAAGAATAAATAAATATGGAAATAAATACACCAATGTATAAATAAATAAATAAAAGTAGAAAATAAAACAGAACACACGTTATTATATATCTTTCATATATTTCTACATTTACGCAACATACTTTTATTTATTTATGTATTTATGTGTCCGTATGCTAATGAGGTGGGCTGTCCTAACCTCAGTCTGAAGCAGGATTGGTTACAGGAGTGTGTGATCATTTCTGGCAGAGGGCTCTACTACTAACGCCTGGCTAACCACGAACACCTGCGCAATGTCCCCAGCGGTGTGCCCCCAACGAAGATGTGCTTCAATAACGTTTGGGGGCAACATGTAAGATGGACGCCCAAGGGTCACCTCCTCTGTTTCCGAGAGGATTTCAAGTTGGCGGGCAACCTCTTGAAGACTCTCAAACACAGCTGGGTTAACATCCACATCCATGTCGAGCTGAGCCAAGTCCTCTATACATCGTTCCACACGAAACTGGACATAGTCTTTTGGTTCTCCGTTCTCTAAATGGTCCGCTAATGATCGTAAATGATCTCCAATGGCTCTTAAACCAATAGAGCCCTCTGCCAGAAATGATCACACACTCCTGTAACCAATCCTGCTTCAGACTGAGGTTAGGACCGCCCACCTCATTAGCATACAGACACATAAATACATAAATAAATAAATGTATGTCGCGTAAATGTAGAAATATATGAAAGATATATAATAACGTGTGTTCTGTTTTATTTTCTACTTTTATTTATTTATTTATACATTGGTGTATTTATTTCCATATTTATTTATGCATTTATTTATTATTTTATTTATTTATTTGTGTATTTATTTACACATTTATTTATTTCTGTATTTATTTATTTCGTCATTTATTTATTCCTGTATTTATTTATTTATTAATTCCTGTATTTCTTCATACATTTATTTATTTATACTTATGTCATGTTCCGTCCTCCATACATTTTGGGGAAACCAGCTCGAGTTTGAAAATACACAGCCCGAAAAAATCTGCCACTTCCTTACAGAGCCCCTCCTCCAACACACACGAACGCGCACATGACCAATGAGGGCACGAGATAAGTTTGTGCACAGATGGAAGGCTGACAGGCAGGTAGGCTATCCAGCTATTTTAGCCGGGCCGGCTAAAATGATTGGTCGTGCTTTTTACAGTACTACAGCTTTCACAGATGAACTTTTTTTATGGATTTTTTGTCAAAACCCTTAAGATATTAATTGCTATCGGGATGTTAAGAGCATTCCATGGAATATAACAAAAAGTGTATCTCGAGCCGGTTTCTCAAACGTACCTACCCCACCTTTAACCTATAATAAAATATAATATTGTGTCGCTTTATATTTTACATTAATAACCTAAATCTGCAAAATAACTAGTAACCAAAAATGTAAAACAAATGTAATGCAATAAAAAGTACAACATTTGCCTTCAAAATGTAGTGATGTAAAAGTATAAAGTAGCATAATGTAAAGTACCTCCATGTTCAACTTAAAGGTGGGGTAGGTAAGTTTGAGAAACCGTCTCGAGATACACTTTTTGTTATATTCCATGGAATGCTCTTAACATCCCGATAGCAATGAATATCTTAAGTGCTTTGACCAAAGATACATAAAAAATGTCATCTGTGGAAGCTGTAGTGCTGTAAAAAGCACGACCAATCATTTTAGGCGGCCCGGCTAAAATGATTGGATAGCCTACCTGCCTGTCAGCCTTCCATCTGTGCACAAACTTATCTCGTGCCCTCATGTCTAGCGATCTCGAGCCGGTGTCTCAAACTTACATACCCTACCTTTAAGTACTTTACTTTATTACGCCATCGAAGATTTATACAGCTTTATATATGATTAATATTTAACTTTGCAACATATCCACAAATTCACAATAAAACTGTCCAGAATCACTTTGCTTTTCTCCTCTGCTGCAGGTCATCAGCGGTGTGCTCAGTAATGAGGAAGACACAGATGTAGAAAAGGGAAGAGCTTTTCCGAATTACCTCAATGAGGAAGTCTCCTGTCCTCAGACCAGCCCTCCAGGCCACTCCCTCCACATCCACAGACTCCAGGTACTGAAGGGCGGGGAACGCTGGGGTGGGGGTGAACTCCTCGATGGGCGTCTCAGCTGAGAAAAACCAACCCAGAAAAGTTCAGTGAAATCTGGAGCTTCCTTTGATTTCATTTTTCTTTTATGTAAATGAGACTACAACCTCACAACAACCTCACAAACAGAACACGTATTACATGCTGTGTGTAATATTCGGAATATGTTGGCTGCCGTATTACATTTGCCCTGTTTGAATTCCCTTGGAAGAAATTACACAGTTTTCAAAGCTTCCCTTTTAGCTTTACTAAAATGATTTAATTAATATATATTTCACTGCTTTTAGTTCTATTACTTGACTAAAGATTTCTATATTAGGCAGGAATACTGAGCGGATATACTGCTGTTTCCTGCTTCACCTCAACAATAATGCTGATGCATATTTGCATACAATCACACAGTCATACACCTGCACAACTGCATGCATGCCTTAACAAAACACACACACACACACACACACACACACACACACACACAACACACACACACACACACACACACACACACACACACACACACACACACACACACACACACACACACACACACACACACACACACACACACACACACACACACACACACACACACACACACACACACACACTTTGTTAAGTGAGTGCGGCATCATGAACTCCATTTAATCTTGGAACGAATCCAACAAAATCACTGACACATGAGAGTTCTTAGAGGGCCGCTAAGTGAACTGCTGTGTGTGTGTGTGTGTGTGTGTGTGTGTGTGTGTGTGTGTGTGTGTTTAAGGGTAGTGGGGAGTAAAAGGCAGAGCGAGTAAAAGAAAGCGGGGTGAGCCAAGATCCATGGTAGTGAGTGATGGAGAAGTAAAGCACACTCAGACTCCAGGCAAGGTGCCTGAGAGGGGTTGCTATGGTAACCAGCGTGAGCAGGGAGCTGGCACGGGCATGAGTAAAATGAATTTGTGGTGATGGAGATGGAGATGAGTAGAGAGGTGATCTGGGTTTTTAAATGCGGAAGGTATAAAATGGTTTGCGTAGAATCATTTTTGATAGGGTAATGGCTGGGAAGGATATGAAGGAGAGCAGAGAGGAACAAAAACAAGGACAGACAGAGTGAAGATGAGAGGAAGAGGGGAGGAGGGGGGAGAGGAGGGTGTCTCTACTAAAGCTGAACGCCATGTGCGGGGAACAGATGGGACAGCTAGCCGACAGCTCAGCCAAGGATGACGCCACCAAAGGGGCTACACGCTCACACACACACATACACACACACATACATACACAAATACACACACTCACAGGGTGCATCTGAGTATACACGCCGAGTGTTGACCGAAGCTGGTCGTGTTGTTGACTCACACTGTAACACTACAGACTGAGCCATACTCAGTGACTCAGATCAACAAACTATTTCTCACTTCTAAACTCTCACACGTTAAAAACTGCTAGGTAGTCAATGTGCATGTCTTTGCAAAGGTGTGTGTGTGTGAGTTTAAGAGTGTGTGTGTGTGTGTGTGTCTCACCTTTGGCTCCCCGCAGGACGAAGCCAAACCCCTCGTTTTCTTTCTTCTGCAAAACAGCATTTTTCTCTTCTATGATATAGTCACTGTACAGGAGAGAGCAGAGGGAGAGCAGGTATGAATCCAACACCATCCTCACACTCAAAGAGGAGAGGGGAGAGAGGAGAGGACGGAGGGTCGTCGGGGGGTTGACCAATGGGAGGAGATGGAGGTGCACACACTCACACATAAACACACACACACGCCTGTACTTCCTTTCCCATACATGTCTTTCTACTTTGGATTCAGGATATACCAATCAGGTTAAAAGCAAAGTGAGCGACCACAGCTCAGGATTCCACACAGAGACAGAGAGAGAGAGACAGAGACAGTGAGAGAGAGACAGAGAGAGTGAGAGAGAGAGTACTCATGATTTAAGTATCTTTGGGATAAAACCTAAGACTGAATCAATCTTCTGGCTGATCCCTGAGATGAGACTGCAGCTGAGGGGGGTGTGGAGGGCTTCTGCTAAAGAAAGTGAAGGAGATGGCTGGGATGCAATATTATCCTCTGACTAATGACAGAGGGAATAGGAGGCCAAAGTAAGTGAGCACTTCATCACTGCCTGATTTTTTTCCTCAGAGTTGAGGGCTGGAGGCTGCTAGATGGTGTTAACCTGGGCTGCTCTAGAAATGCATGTGTCGAAAGCCTGTAAGCTAAAACCAAAGCAGAGTTAGTGAGGAAGCAAAGCAAATATCAGCATGATGGCTAGATGTGTGAGAGAAATATTCAGATTGTTCGTTCGCCTAATCGAACCAACTGAAAGGAAACGCTCAGGCAAGGTGTAATGGTTTTAATCTACAGTTTTGATGGTAAAAGATGCAGATGAAGAAATGTAAGATATAATTAAAACATGTCTAATTCAGAAAAGTAAAGTAAAATGACACTAAAATGTCAAATAAATAAAAAAAATTGCCTAAATATTGTGTTCTTAGATTAAATGTACTAAAACAACAGCTTGTATCATTTAACACCACACCACACTGAGGGGTCTGCTGCCAGGTTACACACTGAACAAAAGCCCGACAATTTGTAATATTTTAGCATTAAATCAGTCATCCTGCCTCACAGCTGAGGCAGATGTACTGGGCTTTTGTTAAGGTTGCAACTCAGTAGGAGGCGGCAGTCTCCATTAGCTTAGTTACACTCCACTATCTCAGACTTACCAAGGGAACACAGAGCTCCTGCTGCTGGAGCCAGGAGACCCGAAACAAACCTTTCTGCAGGAGGGAGGTCAAAGGTTTTCTTTCATAAAAAGCTATCCATCCACTTTTGCACCGAATATTATGCACAGAAAACTGTGTTGGTTAAGCAACACTAAGATGCTTTGTTTCAGTCTAACACCTTTTATCCACTACGCTTACATCTCTGCCCTATGCCCCAAAATGCTGCATTAATGCAATACACCCTCCTTCAGATTATTCTCCGCCCACATAACTCAATAAAAACTCTCATGGAAAACACAATTTTAGACGGTATACGTCTCCTCAAAATAAACCTGTCCTTTGACAGTAGAGATACTAATATTCCTCAGACTACAGACATCCATCAAGGGAATTGTACCACGTAACAAAATAACTTTCTGTCCTACCTTTCGCTGCAACCGGAATTTATTCAGATATTCATATGTTGCAACTGCTCCTTAAAGTCTCTCTTAGCTGTGATTTTGTGCAGTGCTTGTCTTTACTGTTACACCTTTGGAAAGCATCACAACCTGTATATGATTTTATTTTCCTCCAGTACTCATCTAACATCTGTACTGTACAAAAAAAAAAAATAATAGTGTATGTATATACAATACCCCATATACTGTATGTAGTCTAACACAGGATAGTATGACTGTGGTAATGCTCATTGAACAAACCTGCAGCTCTGATAACAGAGATGGCATTTAATCCAACTAAAACCTAGAATGCAAGAACTTGACATTTAATAAAAAGGCTGAGAAAGTGGGTGGAAACAATGCTCACTCAGACTAGCGCGTCTCAAACTAACACAATGTGGCATTCAAGTCAGAATTTGCATCAAAACCGCACACAGCCAGCTAATCCACTCAGATAATTTGTCTTATTTAAAAGAGAGAAAGCACTCTCTACACAATAAAGGTCAGGGGGACAGCTTAAAGAAAATAAAGACTTAAAATATCAGGCACAGAAACATGCATGCACCCATGCATGTAGAATATACTGTGTGCACATACAGAAACAACTAATTGCTTATCACTTCGAAGTGAGTGCACCAGCAGCCTTTTACCTTTAGATGGCAGCACCTCCATAACGCTCTAACACATTTCCACATGCACTGCATAGCCAATGTACAGGTAATGAGGCAGTATGAGATATGACTAATGTAGTTTGTGCAGTACAATATACACTAATATCATGACCTGCACTTTGCATTAGCGTGCTAGCTCAATGAAAGAGGCTGTACCTGTATGAGGTGAAGTTGTCGTAGGATCCCACAGTGTAGTGTCTGAACAGTCTCTTAGTGCGGTCCTCCCGAGTCTCTGCAAAACACATGAAATGCATTTGAATTTGTAGCATTTTGTCACAGATTGCATGCACTTCTTGAATATCATTAAGGAAGGACACTGTTCATAAGGGATTATAAGAAGCTCTTTGTATGTAAGGATACATTGTAACTGTAAAATGTAATTCTGTTAGCCAAGAAAGGGGTTAAGCTTCCACAGAGAATTAATTATCATGACCATGCATCATTTATCATAACCTACCACAGTCAAATTGTTCCATGGTAATTTTTTGTTTTTCAAACCGTAAAATAATTCCATAATTCTTAATTTAACGCGTTTCTTCTGAAGCTGGAAAATGCTCTAGAATGGGAACAATGTTAAGCTCAATTAATATTGTGAGTAAGTGTGAGTGTGTGTATATCTGTGTTTCTTGTCAGCATGTGGGTAGATTTATACTATGGGAGTGCTGATAGAGATCGATGTCCTCTCCCCATTCCAATAATACACACTGCAACTCCACTAAACAGCAATCTGCTGACTACACAACCCGACAACCTTTCACGCCACACAGAAAATCTTAATTGGGCAAAGCTGTGAGAGCGAGGGGTGTCCTCGTGGAGATGTGAGACAAAAGGCACGAAGCCATGAGTCTGGCTAGTAATCTTGGTCACATGTCCTCCCACTGCTTCTGTTTCCTGTCACTTACCATGTGCTATCAAATAAAGGCACTACTTCAAGCTGTTGAGATCTCCAGTATACGTGTGTATGAGAAAGACTTCGACATGTAAAGAGCAATAAGGGAAAGAGATCAAAGTTACTGAGCTGACTTGAAGAGGCTGGTATCCTCAGATCCACTTCAGCCTTTCCATCTGACTGTGTGTGTGAGTGACAGGCTGTCAACCTGAAGCTCTGATAACTGCATCCAGTGATGCTTGGTGACAAACCAGAAGGACCGAAAAAAGGAAAAAGACAGGATGTAGCAATCCTCTACAATTCTGAAACCATCACCCTCTGCTCTTCCTCTCACCTGCCTTTTCGTTTTCTTCAACTGCCGTTCTCCTGAAATCTATTTCACTTGTGATTAGTTCCTCACCCTCAAAAAGCACTTATGTGCAAATCTTTCTCTCTGATGTTTACACATTAATTTGTTTCAGCATGACACACACACACACACACACACACACACACACACACACACACACACACGCACACACACACGACACAGCACACACAACACACACACACACACACAGCACACACACACACACACACACACACACACACACACACACACACAGCACTACCACACACACACACACACAGCACACACACACACAACGACACACACACACACACACACCAACACCACACACACACACACACACACACATCACCCACACACACAACACACACACCACACACACACACACACAGCACACACACACACACACACACACACACACACAACACACACACACACACACACAGTATAAGTGCACTTGTTTTAATGAATACTCCCTACATGACAAAAACAAAGCTCTGTCTCCTATTGGACAACAAAGTCCATTTCCTTTATGTTGTGAGGTGGTGTATTTATGTTGTTCTTAAATTATCGACCAAAAACAGGCAGACATGTTTAAATGATTTTCAGGGCATCCTCCAACAAGTTTTATAGTTTTTCGCAACTGAATATCTACCATCCAGTTTTGCGTTCACTCCATCAGAAGAAAAAAAAAAAAGGGGTTATTTATAATTTAAAGGAAAGAAATACATCAATAAACCTCAATAAATACTGGATAAAGCATCTGCAGAAAGGTGACACATGTCATAATGAATCCAAAACGTTAATGTCTGTTCTCTGAGGTAAACACAGGTTATTTGAAATGCATGTACAAGAATAAATAGCAAAATCCTCTATAACCTTGAGCTGTTGATCTGAATTGTCTTTCTGAGGGTTTCCTTAGCGTATATCCCTGTGGATAAGGATGTAGTTAAGAACAAATGCACAGAGGATATCTTCCTTTTGGCACCCACTCCCCTTGTCTGGGTTTATACTGTAGGTATATTGGAAAGCTGCCGAGGCAATGCTGTTAAAGCAACAATGTAAGCAGCAGTTAAGTGGTGTCACTATCCTTTCCTCCTAATGAGACCGTGTTTCTATAGCTTTCTGTGCAGCAAAATAAGGACCAGTGAATCGTTTTTAACTTGCTCTGACATCTTACAACCTGGATGATGAAAACCACTGTACTGAGACAGGAAACTTAGCGTAGAAAAGATACATAAAATAAGAAAAATTATGATTTTTGTATTGGATATCAGAGGAGGTAAGGTGAGTCTATTGGTATTTCGTCTGGTCCAGAAGGTTACCCAACGTCTTGTCTTGGGAGGAAAGACGTGGCATTTTGTTAACAGTGCTTGAGATGAAAAAGTTGATATTTGGGCAGAAAGTTATGAATGAGTCAGCAATTGTCTTCTCCTGCACATTTAGAGTCCATATTTTACGGACCTTTTTAACACACACACATTCCTACTCAGTCAGCCTCACACATCATCAGAAAAGCCCTTTACTTCAAAGAGGACAAAAGAAAAAGGAAATCAGCTAAATGCTGGATCATTTGTGGAGTTAGTGAGCGTGAATTTTCAGACTGACAGTACTTTGTGTGTCTGAGCAGTATATGCGTTTCTGTGTGTACAGTGTGTGTGCGTGCGTGCACACCTAGTGACACCAGATGCAGTCTAAGAGTGTGAAATGCAGCTCATTCATCACAGTTGTCATCTATTCTGTACAGCCCAGGAGCATCTAAAGGCAGGGCCCTGATGAGCACAGAGAACCTCCACGGCCAGCACACCCCACCCCCCCCCCCACACACCCCACCCACACACACCACACCACACACACACACACACACACACACACACACCACACACACACACACACACACACACACACACACACACACACACACACACACACACACACACACACACACACACACACACACACACACACACACACACACACACACACACACACACACACACACACACACACACACACACACACACACACACACACACACACACACACACACACACAACACACACACACACACACACACACACACACACACACACACGCACACGCACACACACAAGGGACAAAAGGTATCCACTGTAAGAAAAGGATGTTGTTTAACGTCATACAAGGAAGTTTTGAGTTTTATTATTATTAATGTTTTTGCTTTCTGGAGGCCGTTGTTTAGCTCCAGATCGGAACACAATAAGGAGAATAATCTTCCAATCTGTACCAGAGCTAAACATCTGAGCTGTCAGAGAGTTAAGTGCGCTGAGATTCCAGAGAACAAAGACAATTATGTACTCAGTAGAGTCATTGTAATAGAGTCATGTCAAAATCAAGCACATTACATGATTACCATCTATTTCAAGTACCATGAGAAAAGGGGCATTTGGTTGGCTTTAGACATACTGTCGCTGTTGATGTCCAGATAAAACATTCAGTTAATGTTCTCCATTCAAACCCTTCATGCATTATTGAAAGATCTATACCAGAAACACAAATGAATTAGCCAAAAAATATAGACAAAAAGTCGCACATTAGCAAATCACACAGTGAACACACAGAGGTAGAAGGCAATAAAGGTAATGAGGGAGGCCATTGCCTGTTAGCAATTATTAGAAAGAACCCTACGTATTGTTTATTAACAGATACCTGGAGAGTAAGGGCCATCATTAGACTGTGAATGCTGCATCTGGTGACAGATACACAGCTGGTGGTAATGACATCTTTAGAAAAACAATGTAGCACATGAAATGTAGCACAAAGTCAAACTTGGTCAAAGTAAAAGTAGCTGATGGACAGATATAGATAGATACTATATTTACAACAGATACAAAGACAGAGATAATCAATACATCATTTAAAACCTAACTTACAGTGTATGTAACGAGTATTAAAAAGGGCTTAAACTCAGGTCAGCTTCTTTGTGAGTTAGAAACATCAGCGCTAGAGACTTGTAGAACGAGTTAAAAAGGTTACATAACTGATGATAATAATAATGTGTAGGGTATCTGATACTGTAGGAGCGACAGTATATGTGTGACTTTATCTAAACAATTAAAGGTAAGGCAGGTAATTCACTTCAGAAACACTTCTTGTTATATTGTGAATCTGTCACTGGTCAGAAAACACAATTTCCTGTGCAACAAACCCAAAAGCTGAGAGAGGTTCAGCTGCTCTATGTTTTTAGTGAACGTTGCCCATCATAACTGCACCAATTATGTTTCCAGGCTTTGAATGCATTGACGTCAACCTAACCCTAACCGAAACTACCCCTTATGTTTGTCCCACAAACATGTGGAGGTGTATTGATAACACATTGTGTAATAACTACGTTGGATGAACAGATTTAGTTGGAGTAGTTCATTGTAGTAAGACTTATTAAATCATTTTGATAGTAAATATAAAAGCACATCATGTAATTCTCTTTTGCTAACAGTTGGTTACATTGCCACCAAAAGCAACACAATGCTATATTATCTTCTCAGCACCACATGCCAAGTAATCAAGCTGTGTTTTATCTTCTGCACATACTCTTCTTTTTATTAAAAAAAATGCTAAAATCATAGCTCAACTTAGGAAAGGTTGTTTCTCCTTTCCATTTCCCTCAAATGTACAACATTGATTTTAAACTCACTTACAGAGATAAACATTTTGCATAAGCCTGATCTAAAGATATAATCTGGGACGGATTGAAGGGTTTTGTTTCGATGTGTTAGGAGTGATAACTCATCCATAAAAATGGGAGAATAAGTTGTTAGTCTGCTCTCATGGGTGACAGCTGTGAACCCACTGTGTAGTTGAGACAAAAGCATATTCAACACACTCTTCCTGTCACTGTCTTTAACCTGCTGCATCTCTGATTGTTCTGCTGTGAAGGTCCCTGATTCTCTATTCTGTACAAATTGTTACACCTTCACTGTCCTTGTCTGAAGGACGAAGAGCTACATCCCATACA